TATCTCACTTACAAAGACTTATTATCAAAAGTTCGCAAGGGTCGTATGTAAAACGTGTCATAAAAATATGATGATTGATCTTAAGCGTCTCGCCTCAACAATAGTTGAGAGTTACATATACATATGTAACTCTCAACTATTGAAATTATAAATGCCGGGATCGCGATGAAATTTGGAACAGGGTTAGATTATGGTTGGTAATAACACATGGACTACTTTTATCCCACGGAACCGCGAACGAAGCCGCTGGCAGAAGCTTACTTTAAACATTTTCATACACGTCCACACGTACGTTTTGTGTGGAGCAACATTTAAAAAAAGAAAATTATTTTAATGTAAACAATGCAAGTTTTTAAACTAGTAAAAGCGCGTTGACAAATTCTGTTGTATTTCCCAACGCTTAATTCATTAAAATCGATATAGGTATTACGTATTTGGGAACAATGTAATAAATAGGTATCATGTCAGTAGAACCGCATCCTGTCATGTTTCCACAATGTACAGCACAGTTCGAAGCCTGTGTGACAGACCACACAAAAGGACCGGCTTTTATTCACAACGTTTTTGTTCCTGCAGCTCAAAGAATCGTGTTAACAAACCATCGATACATGAATGCCTGCAACGGGGGAGAAAGATGTCACAGTTTCTCTGTCATCACGACTGAATTTGTACGAAAATAATTGTCCATTAACGTCAAATTCTCGTACGTGCGATGACCAGCTATAACTATAAGCAAACGATCTCTGCAGAGCTAGACAATAATTACGTACGGACAGCCGTCAATCTCATCCGGTAACACGCTTTGATAAATAATACATTGTTCGAGCCACATATCTGCATCGCGTGTCCGTCCACTCTTGAATTTTCACTGAAAACAGAGTAACGCTTCGGCAACGCGCGTTCGTCTAAGAAATTGGGTCGCATACCGTTGTGTAACGTCCCCACAGATAGGACCAGTACGGCTATTGTGTACGAATTTTAATATCGAAAAATCCAGGACTTTCACGCGAATATTGCGACGCTAATGAGACATTTTGTATACACATAAAAAGAGGCTACAAATCTAAGAAGTCAGTAAGCCTACAGACAGATTGACTACTTCCACGAAAACTTTTGCGTGGAATAAGTCAGTCAAGTGCGAGACGGACTCGTGGACGTAAGGTTCCGTACCAATAATAAAAAAGGAATAAATCATCTTGTCGTATGGGAACTACCTTTTATTTATTTTACATGTGAGCCTTTACTTGTTCGGGCAATCAAATCTCAAGTTTTATAGCAGCCAAAGAAATTATGTTGTTGAATGAGACAATGAGGCACAGCCTGCTGATAGATAGTCAGGCAGACAGGACGGTGGAATCTTTGTAATAGGGTGTCGATTGTACTTTTTGATACGGACCTCTAAAAATAACAAAATTTTCTTTGTGATAACTGATAATGATGAAAAATATACAACACCTACCAATTTTCTTAGGAAAATTTATGTGGTCCTATTATTCGAATAAGGGCTCGAAGTTCAAAAGAATTAATTGAGCCACCTACTGGGTAGACATGATTTCAAGTGGAGTCAACTTTCATATTTTAGAATTAAATTATTCACTATATTAGTAACAGGTGATTCTGTATCACCTCTGAAAAGAACTGATCTTGCAGGAACCGACAACCTTAGTGTTCCGCGGCGCCCCTTTGACGCAGATTTCTACCTTGGGCGATATGAGGTGGGTAACGTATTTTATTATTCGCGACTGCCGCTTCCAGGTCGTGCGTCCACAGGTATTTGTATGCTCACGAACGTTAAAACGTTAACAGCCACGATGTCACAGGAATAAATAGGCATTCTAGCATTTTTGTACCGATTTATACGTATCTTTTATCTATTCAATGTTGTATTAGAGTAGACAGCAACATTGCTAAGTTATAATTTGCCACAGATGCAAAACAATCGCTTCATATAAGTAATGAGACTGAAATATCACCCGAGCAACTTACGAATATTGCTGATACGCTAATATTTCAAAATGGCATGAGTTATTGTGACGGTGTTGATACTACAGAGGGTATTTGAATTTATAGTTTATTTTAATTTATTTGGCTGCCTCGTTGACCGAGTGGTCGCAAGTGCGACCGCCGAGCAAGGGGTCTCGGGTTCGATTCCTGGGTTGGGCAAAGAACTGCTGGGTTTTAAAAAAAATCTCAGTAGTAGCACGGAATCTGGAATTGTGCCCGGTATATGGCAATAGGCTCACCCCCTATTACATGGGACTCATAACATAACATAAGTAAAAAGTGAAAAGTGTGTGTTATATTTTACAGTGACATTAAGTGCTGCAGCGTGCACCTCGGCATACCCCTTCGGGGATAAAAAAGGCGTGAAATTATGTTAATTTATTTACTATCCGAAATGAGATTGATAAAACACGTCACGAATGAGCAGAAACAAATCTTCGACAAGTCGCATTCAAAGTAAGTGCCACAGTATGTCTGAATAGGGCACATGCCAGTAGGAAACTATTATCTCTTCAACAGATACATGGCTTCGAGACACACGTAACTTTGCACAGAATAGTGAATGGAAGTTTGCTGTGGAAAATCGGGCTACGGTCCGAGTCGTCCACTGTCAGGCAGAAGTTTAACTCGGGCGAGTGCTGCCGACGGCAACACATACCTTGTACATATACGACACCTACAAACTTCGTGTTACTGCTCCTCTTTGTCTTTTTCTCTAATGCAGTTTTCGTAACTCTTCGACGACCATTCACCTTTTCCACCGATGTTTTTAAAGTTTGGCTAATGACGTCAATACTTGTTTCCCAAAATGTTCAGCATTCCTACTTCATTGTTGGTTGGGAGTACGTTGAAAGACATTATTTTTTAGAAAATAACATTTTAAATATATAAAGCTAATTGGAAGGATGGGATTTGAGGAAAAATGTTTTATTGAACTATAAACATCGGTTCATGAAATAATGTCATAGTATAGTCTCACGATCTGTAACAAGTTACACTGTCCTACAATGTGACCGAGTTATTCACATTTCCTAGCGTTTGTAATGCAGTTTCAAATCTAACTTTGGAGGTGGTTGAGCCTAGTTGCTATACGCAACTTGAATGGGGGCGCTCGGCCAGGAACGTACCACCCTCTCCCATTCTCAGAATACATCAGCTTTTGGAGAGAATAGTACCGTATACCCATACATGAAAATACGAAATCCATTTCTAATAGAAACAAAGAACATGGTCATGTTATGGTATCGGATGTTGCGGAATGCTTTAGTTCGGTATAAGTAATTATTATTTAATTTAAACAAATATTACATAACCGACAATAAATGACGCGCAAAAATCGACACATTATAAAGTGCCGAGTAAAAAGTTATTTCAGATGTAGGTGCGGTACCTAAAAATTGATATTCTCCAAAAATATCACTCTTTACAATTTGTACGAATCTAAATCGTTAAAATGACGGGGTAAAATGTAAGCATCGTCGATGGTTAATGGAAATATTCTTTTCCGTACTGCGCAAGTTGACTTTTCATTAGAGTGCACTGGCTCAGTTTGCAGTTGATGTTTTAAAGTTAAAACAAAACTAGTCTAATAGAGGTGCTAAATTCTACCGGATAGAGGGAGCACACTTATATCCAATGCTGGATACTGGAACTCGATGCTTTGTTATATATCGGATGACATAGTTTGTCTGTTAGATAACATATATTTCCAGAATGCTACAGCAAGTTAAGGTAAGCTTCTTACTTTCCGGATACAGTGTACAGTATGACGTAAATAAAGGTCCATCGTTGGATAGTAAAGGATGTTTTCCTCTACTGAGTGCCAAGCACGAATAACTATCGCATTCGTAACGTAATAGTATCGAGCGCGTTCGGCGCTCTGATTGGCCGGCTCAAGTGAACCAACCAATCAGAACGCTTAACTCGCTCGATACTGTTACGATACGAATGCGATAGTTATTCGTGCTTGGCCCTCTGTACCCTTTACTTCGAACCTTGAAAGTCTCAATACTTACGAAGAAGGAAACAAAACATTTCGGATTCATGTGATTTCCTTGCAAATTTTCTTTTTAAAACAATACAGGTCAATCATAATACGGCCAATAGCAATGAAATTCCGCCAATGACCGTTCTTGTGTTCGATAGATAGCATTAATGATGTGTAAAGTCGTGTTCGTTCAATCATCTTCACTGTCAAAAATGTAAAAGACCACTAGGACTGGATATAACACCCAGCCTTGTTTTTACCCTTTGGGTACGGTATGCTAAAAAGCAATTACTGACTGGACCAAAATGTTAATAATATAGCATAATAAAAGAGACAACATTTTTCATAATCTTAACTATTATATTAACACTAAAAGCACAACACTGATTACACATATTAAGAATTTAAAAATCTTCATTTATCTTGATACAGCATAAATGTTTCAATGGCAGATAAATTAAAGGGAAACTAGTATTCGAAGCAATTTTCAAGTCAAGGATCTTGTTTATTTACACTAATGTTATAAATCTGAAATGTTAAAAAGGAAACTTATTTATTAACGATGTAATTTTATAAAGATCTAACCTTGCCTGTTATAATTTAGGAGATAGGTAACGTAAAACCAAAATAATGCTTCGCGCTCTTTACTCAGTTTCAGAAACGTCATCAAAAAGGGCGTCACCTAAATGCAGGAAGAAATATAAAAAAGTTCTAAGACTCTACTTTTTATCCTGTATTGCCATAGAGATGGATATGTAAGGGACTGATTAAAACGCTAAATTCTCCACGGGCGAAACCACAGTTAGATAAGCTACTTAAACTTCTTAATCCCCAATTATGAAAAATCCACACATTTGTTTATACGAAAGTAGTCTAAACATCGGAAATAATGCCTATAATGGGGTAAGTAGAGAGCGCTGACCGCTTGAGGACTGGGCAGTTAAATATCTGAACTCCAAGACCACATCTTTCGCATATTGCCATTAAATTGCACAACAAGGAGACTCACCGTAGATCCTGCAGCAGTGCCTCCCCCTGTGCGATGGTGGCGGCGCAAGCGTCAAGGCTTGCGCCGCGGTGTTGCGCGCATTGGTCTAGCGCACGCCGCGCAGCCTCCGGCGTATCGTCTGACGCGCACACGCCACCGCCACTCCGCAACGTTTCCAGCCATTGCAGCAGCTAATAGGTACAAATATTGCGATTAGTTTACGCTTGTGTTTGATACCGTTGTTATTTGAGTCACACATCCTAAAGTTTATTTTAATGTTCGTCTGGTAGATTATTTTTTCATTATCTAACAGACGGACTAATTACATACTTTAATTTTTCCACACTCTCTACTGTCCTATTATGTAGGTAGATGAATATTTCCGAGCGTGAAGCTCAAGACCGATTGAGATGGAGAACCTCTGTGGACGCCCTCTGTCCCATTTAGGGGACATAGGACTATAAGTAAGTCATAAATATTTTAATGTGTTTGGTACTCTATTTATTTTGAGAAATTTTACATTTTATTAACCACCGCTGTGCTAATTTATTTCTAACGATCCAAAAAGGATAGCTAGATGTATGATAAAAGGGAAACCTTGTTTTAAATAGAGATTCTTGGCAGCTGTTAGCATGCAAACTGTGGTGAAAGTCTAAGCTTAAGGCCAAATTGTCAGGTGGCAAGGTTTAGAGCTTAGAACCTGGCATTTATCCAGGGAAAATCTATGTTTGTTTACTACACAAGTATTACGTAAAATTGAACGTAACTATGCACAACGCATTTTATAAGTTAATTCTACTGTGGCTATCCTAGAAAAGTGATACTAGGCTTATGAACCACTTTAACCATCTTCCGTGAAGTGCACACTGACTTTTCTTTAGTATTAAGCCTGCATACACACTGAGGGATTGTCTAGTACTCTAGTCCATCAGTAGATTCAACAACTTGTAGAGGTATTGTAAGATCGTGACTATGTCAAAGATTGAGAGATTGACCCGTGTTTAAGTGCATCTAATATAAGCTTCGCTTTCTGTTAGCTGTTGCTTTTGAAGCATGGTGAAGTGAACCGTGCTTAGGTGTTTTAATGAGACCTCGAAGGTTTGGATCATATTTTTATTTCTGCATCCTAACCCATTACCGAGAATTATCGCAAGTAAAAAAATAATACAAAGGATAAAATGTAAGGTAAATTACAAAGATGTTCCGTAAAGGTGCGTCATACTTATGGGTTCAAGAGGTGGGATGTTTGTTAGCTGTTTGAGTTTATACAAATTAGATATCTTAATCGGATATGGTTGTCTAATAGGGGTAGGCAGAAACGTTTAAAATGACTTCTAGTGCTATCACGCGTATTTTTTATAAAACACTCCCTATTTTAATAACCCTTTAGGGAACAGAGAGTATAGTTCCCTAAGATCGGAAAAGGAGGATCCTCCGACCAGGCGAGGTGATCGTGCCTGGCGGGCTTTCTGCCCGACAGTTGTTCGTTGGGATTTTCTATCCGTGTTTATTCGCTTGTAAACTTTGCATGTGCGATGCAGGATTCTTGTGACGTCATCCGTTGACATGTGGCATGCGTCGCCACAACCCTATTTCGTTAATATTGCATTTAGGGTTCAAACTTTATTTTTTACAAGGTCGTCTATACCGACAGAGAGGAGCCTAGAGTGGAGATTATCAAAACGGGCTTGTACTTCGGGACGAGTCTAAGCACAAGACAGTTAGTTTCGGTGTTTCTTTGTAGAATAGTTAAATAGGAAATATCCACCTTACGTAATTTAGTTTAGAAATATTGACTGTATAGTCGATTGGGGATTAAGTATGAGACTGGTCTATTGAAGCATTCACCAACACAGAGAAACACACCATAAAGTTGTTATATGAGAGCGATATGCATGGGCTTAGTACGATTTCTTTTTTCGTTCAGTGCTCTGATTGGTTTGTTCATTGGAGACGGCCAATCACAGTGCCGAACGCGTACTCGTTTCGATTACTTTAAATGAAAAAGAAACTCGTCGTAAGGTCTCTGACCGGACCAAAGCATGGCTCTGTCTTGTGAGCGATTGTTGGTTGTTTTTTGTATATTAAAATATAATGTACCTCTTTCTCATGCGTATACAGAAGCACGGCGAGATCCAGTCGCCTCCGTCTCCTGTCGACTCGTGCAGCGAAGGCAGCGACATGAGCCTCCAATTCTCGCGCCACGCCCAGCACCTCCTCGGGATCACACTCGCCGGACCGCGCCAACTCTTCAGCGCCTGCCAGTAACTTTTCCGCGTTCGTGTATGTGTTCTGTTGGGGAAATGAATAATTGCTTATGTTGTTCTGTTATTTACTGCAGTATGGAATGAAAGTGGACTTTTTATGCAATTTTAATGCTAGCTATAAAGAATGCATAAAAAAGACAAAGAAAAAATTACTTCTTCATTATAAATGTTGTAATAGAAGACCACTTACTTGAGCCACATTTTCAAAATGTTCATGAGATTTCTGATAAACCCTAGCTTTATGGAGATTCCTTCCTATTCCAGTATTCTTCTGTAAGAATACTTCACCGTGATTTGCCAGCCAATCGAGCACCTGTAACAAAGTTCTTTCATCAAGTAACATACATATAACAAAACAATATGAAGCGTCTTTTATAACTTTAAGTCTGAAGTACTAGTAACTCCCGTGCGATTTTACCTGCACCGTGATTGTAGCGTTTTCGGTGTTGGTTTTTAACCATGATAACAACTCATGAAAGTTGACTTTTAAACTAAGGACCTTCTCTATAAAAGAGAGGCTTATAACCTTCATGCTTGGCAATCGGAACGCTACGGCCTAATCATTTTAATCCACTTCAAAAAAGAAGGAGATTCTCAAATTGACTTGTATGTATGTTTGTGCACGATTACCTTGCGATAGGCTGAACCGATTTTTTACCGGTTTTCAAAAAAGTGTTACACTTAGTAGAAGGGTTTGGCATATTAATCAACCGACTTCAAAAAAGCCGGGGTAGAAATCGGTTATTTTAAACTTAGTTTATAAAAGAATTATTTACGTGTGTAGTTCTTTAATAGACTCTTTACGACAGCCGTATAAAGAGTAGGGTGGAGACAAGTGTATTCTATTCTGCCGCGTCGGTTTATTGATGCGTTTAAAAAAGACTCGTATATCAAGTCTCCCACTCACCTGCCTACAATCTTCTTTATACAAAAGCAAGGCGAGTCTCTGATGCAGCTTAAGCCTGGCTTGATGGTACCTCGCCTCGAGTGCCCGGTGGTGTCCCAGTATCTGGTGTATGACGGCCAATACATGGTTCGCGCCAGAGCTGTAGTCCGCGGCCGGATCACCGCCACTGCTACCTGCACTGCTCACTGTACCGTCGTTCTGGGGATACGGAATGATATTCACATATTAATAACAATAGTTGTAACGGTAAAATTACGATTATAATCATCAAATCATTCATAGATTGGTATCATTATCAGATTGTCATAAGAAATATAGAATGACAGTAGGCATTTTAATGTAAATGTTATTGGGATTAATTAGCAATGGAAAGTAAGTACATAGGAGATGTTTTACCTTGAGAAGATGTAAAAATGTACATTTATTTTTAAATACTAGGGCTAAAAGATTTCAGGCCAACGATAGTTCCAACAATTAGACAAAATTAAGACCTTCTTTGAACATAAGGCGTACTCACCATATCAGCAGGATCGGTTTGATGGCACACTTGGACGAGGTGATCCAGCTGGTACAACAACTTCTTACTAGTAGAATGGACCTGAAGCAAAAAACGAACATATTCATCAGTTTTAATATTATGTTTCCATCCTGACCATAAAACCATCGCTCCCGAAATAAAACCTTATGAATAAGTAACTAAGGTATTAAATGAATTCTTGAGCTGAGTGATATATAAAGTGAGTTACTCTCAACTTATCCAAAAACTAAATCTAAATATGTATATTCCAAAAGTATACTATTTTAAGGCAATCGTACCTCAGTATAGGCTTGGCACATGTGTTCATAGAGCTGGCGATGTCTTTGCGCGTGTTGTTCTAACGCTCGAGGATCGTTGCAAGGTGCTCCACCCTGGCCCGTAGCCAACTGTAGAGCGACCGCGCACTGCGCTCCCCAACCACCCACCGCTGATACATACGCCTCAGCTTTATGATGAAACACCACTGATAGTGATAACACCGCTGAACGCTCTTCCAAACCTGTGGAACAGAAAATATGTCATAACAAAATCAGGAAAGTTCAAATATTGTTGAGAGAATGGGACACTAAATAGACTTCGGAACAACAACATAAGTTTAATCATAGTAAAATAATATAGAACTGTGACGTCTGGAGAAATGATTGAAGCGATTGTAAAACAACAACATAAAGAGATTGAATTGAAGAAGATAAAACAAAAAAGGTATTCTAGAATCACATCGTTTTCCGTCCCATTGTTTCGTCTATCACTTTCAGGAATGAAAAGCATTCTATAGCCATGTTATGAAAAAAGTTGTAATGACACTAACCAGCTGACAGTTGTTTATAAGCTCGTTCGAGTCGATGCGCGAGCGCAGAGATTTCGGACTCGGCGTAGTGTCGCTTGTCCGCGAGACGACGAGCCGCCGTCGTCACTCGGGCGACACTCGGCCTGCCTCCACCTGTACATGCTGCTGCAAACCTGGCCAGGAAAAACATAGAGGATACATTATCATATGCCACATGATGCTGACAGAGAAGATATCACTACTGCTGTATATGGGCCTCTCCCAGCAACTTCTATAACGGGTAGTTGGAAGCCCTGTACTAAATTAATTGTTAAATTAAACTATCACTAGGAACTGTGTTTTGGATTACCATGCCAACATTATCATGTTTTTGTTTTTAAGCAACATTTTCTGCAAGCAGTCCGATAGTATAAATGTGGCCTTAAACGATAAGGTCACAATTTAAGGATATGCACTAATGTGCAGTTGCCACTAAAATTATTTCAAAAAATGCATCGAGACTCGCGAACTATTAAGTAAATCTCATTTGTAAGCAGTAACAGATCATTGAGTAGAACTACATCTGCACTTATGATTAAAGACACATTTGTACAAACAGAGACTTTGGGTCAAAAACAAAGATTACCTGGCGTGTTCCTCTTGCAACCGTTTAGCGGCGGCACACGACCGCCCTATCTCCACGTAAGTCGCCAAGAATGCGGTGCGGTGATTCACGATCCATTCCAACATCTGTGATGTTAATTTTTGTTATTATTATGATCATTCGTTCAGTCATTTTGTGAAGAGTACCTATCCAGATTTATGTTAGTGCCTAACATCAGAATCAAACAGAAAGAATTTGGTCAATATGAGTAACTGTGAGCTGCATCACTCGACTTGTATAAAAGGTAGGTAAAAGTTCTGTATTATAATCTTCATTTTGTACTTGCCATTTATTTAATAGAAGAAATAATATAAATAGAAGAAACATGGTTAATAATTGTCTAATTTAAGCACTCAAAGCACTAATAGACTTTACAGTTACACCATCTTGAGTTTACTATAGCTATATGCTATGATTATGGTACTTACCTTTTCACAATCCTGCTCAAATAGGCGCAGCTGGAAGCACTGGTCGAGCTGCATCTTCTTGTGCTGCCAGAGCTTGTGCGCGTGCGCGTGTGCCGAGCGCACGGCGGAGAGTTGCGCGCGCACGGCCCCGGGTGAGCCGCAGTGGAACGCGGCCTCGCCGCCGCTACCGCTCGCCTCAGAGCACACTGCTTCCGCTGCCTCCAAACGCTGCAGGACTCGCTCGCCTAAACAAATGTAAAATTTCAATGCTAAGGTCAATACTTACATAATAAAAATAATATAGTAATACAGGCCGTATATACAACAGCCCCTTAATAAAGGCGAATCGATAAGCGCATTGGCTAAGGGATTAGCTGCTGTGTTGCATAACGATCTGACACTTGACCCGTAAGGGCAGAAACTAGAAACTACCACCAAGTATGATGCTTACAAACGGCGAGGTCAGTATTCATTGCATTCATCATATAAACACTGACGTGTTCTGGACACATTTGCATGATTTCCGGAAAGACATGGAGTCTCTTGAATCATAACTCATAACTAAGGACGATTAGGTAAAGACGTAATCTATTGAGTTCTCAAACAAGCCGGCATCTCCGCTACCTATTGTAGTTTCTAATAACACCGACAAACGGAAAACCAATAAACTGTTCAATGTACTTCGTTTCAAACGATTCTTGTGCCGTCGACGTCGTGACATCACGTTTCACTTAATATTTACTTGGGACAAACATTTCTTGTTCACTCTATATCAGATCAAATAGAAATAACTAGGTGTCACTATTTTCTATAGACTTGCCGTCAAATGTGTTTGTCGCGTCAATAATCGAAATTGTTGTGGATAGAAAATTGCTGTTGCCAATGTTATGATATATTTATGTAGATAAAGGGAAAGCACAAAGTAGTGAAACTCTGAAACTAGATCATTAAAAACATAAAAATCTATCAATGTTGAAAGTAATATGACAATAAACGACCTACTGATAGTATAGATATGTGAAGAAGTGTATTTGTATCTTGTACAAGTGACCTAATCGCTACAACAGTTACCTATATGCAACCCTAACGAACCATTACGTATTTTAGTGTACATTTATGGTGCGCTACCAAGCGAAATATTGTGTTTAAACTTGGATTAATGAAGCGGCAAGACATTACAGAGAATTTTGTAATATTATGCTTGAAGTAAACAAATGAAGTAGGTACATAATAATAATCTTACCAATCATTCGATTTTGTATTCGGACTTTTTGATAATAAATCACAGATTAATTGTCCATGCAACATTAACAGCGATGTCTGTACAGCAAATGTTAGAAATTAGTGAGGCTCATTATTTATGCAAATGAGAACATTTGTAACACGACATTTTGAGCAACGATCCGTCGCAGTATGATATTGTGCTCAAAGAATGCTATGAATCTGTAATCTTTCGTAGCGGTCTAGATCGACAAACTGAATGACGTATCGTGATAATAGACGTTGCACCAATCACCATTATACTGAATCTAGAAACTAGAAAGTGCAGTGTAATATAACAAAAAAACTAGACACAACATAAACGCTCCGCCTAGCACAAAATTTCATACCGGTCTGTTCAGTGCACCACAAACAATCGAAACACATCACTGGCACGTCAAGTACATAACACGACACCCTTCAGCGTTATGCTACAGCGAGTGGCGCGTGCGCACACAATCCACACTGAAACCTGCGGTTATACAACAACTGCCTGACCACCTCGCCTGCCTGCCCTCCGTTCAACCGTGACAATAAACGTTATATGAATCAAAAATAAATAGACAACCGATTCCGCAATTTACGTTTTCTAATGCACTTCATTATGTGCATGCTTTTAACGTATATGGATACGTACACTTAATTATACGGGTGATGATTATTAACGCATTAATCATTAACTATTTTACTGTCGATTGCAATTATCTTTTTAAATTACATTCTAGTAATAAAGTAGTAATTGGTAAGTAATAGGGCATGCATAGCATGTCTTAAAGATTCAGAACAAATGTACAGCAATTAGTGTTATGAGTTAAATCATATTTGGTATAAAAAGTTTTACCGATATAAAATTTTAAAGCAATGAGCTACCTTGACCCTCCAGTTCGTCGACGGGGACCTTGGCGAGTCGCTTGCTGATATCAGCGTGCGCGTCGATAGCTCTCCTTGCGCCCGTGACATCATCGGCAAAATCTGCTCTCGCAACATCCTCCTGCAGGTCATCGAGCCTGTCCAGCAGCTCACCAGCTTGCCACATCAGCTCCTCCAAGGCCTATAAATATATCCCATGTATTTTAAACTGATATAAACAATATAGAGACTTTAAGAGCTTACAACAACAAAGTAAAGATTCGCCACAGAAACTTATTAGGTGTGACTTCTTCACTGACTGAAAAGGGGTACCAAACTAACAATAGGCAGGCGGTGCATTATACGCGTCCCGCTTGCTCTGCTGCGAGGAGTGGTGGTGAGTGCAATGGATGCCAGCAACAATTCGCTAGTCTCCACCTTTCTACGAAGATTACATGTTTACAGTTTGTATCATTACACTGGTAGCATTCGTTTTACAGCGCCGCTAATGTCTGTACAGTAGATACTGTTTCAAGTCCCACTTATTTTTTACAGGTTGTGTTCTTCACTTAGAGGAAACATAATTACGATTTGTGTATTTATACACGCGCACCAAAACAGTTTCACTAACGCGATGACGATGACGTCATCAATGTCTGAGTGTGCGGCATGTATGGCGCATGCGGAAAGGTGTGGGCAATATGGGAAGTACGATAACATTACTCACTATATTCAACAACGAATTCCTGTAATTGAAAAATTTAGACTACGATGTATGAGTATACTCACCAATCTGAGATCTATCCATTGCGCGTGATCATATTGCAGAGTACCGTCTAAATCTGGCGTTAGTTGCGAACTATCTATCACTTTAGGCAGTGCTTCTAAGCTAATCATTGTTGTCTGGAAACAAATTATCATTTTAATCAAATATCAATACATACAAGAATGATATGAGAAATCTTTAAAAAGACTAAGATTTACCTCAAACTTGTACTTATGTGCTCCTATGGTTGTGCGTTGCTTTTGCCAAAAATTGTCAGGTTTAACTACCAGTGCCTGATGGACGGATGAAGGGAAGTGTTCTTGCAGAACTTTTAAGATAGGTTTTATTGCTGCCCATGCTGAACCTCTCATATCAATCAATATCGTGAATCCATGTGATCTCACCGAGTCACTAAAACAATAAAAGTACATTATTTGATTGGATAATAAAAGATTAAAGATTCTAAATCTACATCTTTTCTTTGAATGAATGGGACATGTTGAAGATTAACAATGCAATTCACCTGTTCGGAGAATGGTATACAGAACAAAGTAAATCACAAATTCAATGGAAAATTTAGTAACCACAGCAAGCTACATACTGTACACAATTACTATGAAGTTGAGTAGTGTGTTGAGAGAGCCTATTGTTCATGCATCATGTTGATGACTGAAAAATTACCCTCAATGTGCCATTCAACAGGACATATTGGTGTCAAATGCACCATTGATACTTGTAGCAGTATAAAGATAGATAAAATCTTTTTTATGTTTAACATAATCTCTATAAAATAAGAACATTGCAACCACCCCAGTACAAGCTAATCAGGTGTAAAAAAATAGAACTAAAATAAAAATTATAAATAGACACAAGTTTACATAACCTTTTGTCCTTGTAGTGGGCAGTATGTGTGGATGGAACACCTACATAGCACCGCTAACATTATTAGACCCAAGTATAAATAGATACGACTATAAATAACAAAAGAAATATTAAGAAAAAAATATTAGGTAAAAGTACTCACCTAGGTATACTGATTAAATAGTGCAGCAAACGCCTATAGTCATCTGGCGCGACTCTGTCTCGCCGGGAGTTCGCTGGGAACCATATGATAGGGCCACCGCGGCGGTCGCGACCTCCTGTTAGGGCCGCCACCCGCTCCTGGAGTAGCGGGAGCACGTCCAGAGCGCGCGCCCCAGCCTCCATCGCTACCCCTGTTCAATGACCACTCTGAAGATGCCTGGTGAAAAGCATAAAAAAAATTACAATAATTATTATAGATAAACAGATTTTGTCAAATATATAATTAGAGCCATTAAAATCAAAATCCTTATTCTGAAGTCCATTTCTTCACTAGGATAAGTTTTTTGATATCTTTATATATGCAATTTGCTTGGCACAAAGAGAAGCATTATCCTTGCATAAACTTCACAAGTATGCAATGAAACTTGGCTATCAAGATGATAATTTTAATGGCATTGACATTTACAAGGCAAATTATTACTACACATCAACATAATACTGAAATGGTCATCTAATGTACATCAATAGTTGATTATAAATTCTGCACTTATACTCACATACTGGGTACTAGGTCTTCAATGTTACCATAACCATGTTAGTGTTTGTTTTTTTTTTAACAAAACATGTGCCAGCTACAATTGGCTTGGAGTACATATGGAAAGCACATGAGTAATAACTACCTTACAATTAATAGTAATAATAGTTAAAATTTAATCACTATTCGGGTACTCTTTGTTATTAGCAAATAGAATGGTGAGTTTGAAATGGATTTCTTAAAATATTGTTTAGAGAAATATGTACAATACAGGGTACATAATTATTAAGTGAATTTCCTATCATTGTAGCAACACCTTGTTTGCAAACTTGATGAATAAATTAAACATTAGTTAGTTATTTGTACTTGAACACTACAGTGTTGTGCAAGAAACATAATTTATGATATAATTATTATAGTAATGAGGATGCACTTCCATTCCACTGACCTCACTATCAGGAAGAAACTACAGATTCCTTCCAATTATAATATTTATAAAAGTCTAATTGGCTGGCCAAATATGCTTATCAAATTAATAAAGTAAATTTAAATAGCTGACCTACAATGACTTACGGTCTTACATAGTGATAAGTGAAACAAAATTGTAACTTGCAATGTTAAAGTTACCTTGAGAACAGAGTATAATTTTAACAATGAATTAGCAATATCACTGTTTTAGTATTCCATTCCACTCACAAATCAAATTCTTACAGGATTCTCACTAAGGGATGAATCCTCTAATTAAATTGTAAATAATAAACAACAAATTCTTGTTTACTTAAACAAATAGACTCTTTTCCTGTAAAACATTACTGCTAATGAAGCAGAATTCTGCTAATGGAACGGCCAAGTTTTAATTATTTTAAAAGATAAATCATGTTCTTTATATACATACAAAAAGAAATCTTAATAAAGAGCAAACATTAATTACTGGCATGCAATAAACTGGTGCAACAGCAATACAACATGAGTTTAATAACATCACTTAACACAGTACCTATTAAAATTAATTATCCAATCAAACTATGTTTACTAGCAATGTTTCTTTCAACAAGTAATTGATGACACCAAGATGTATCATATTACTTTGAAGGTTTCTCATACTTGCATCAACTTTAATAAAGATGCATCTCTTTTTGCACAATTCATTTAGTTATAAACACAACTTATTAAACTGTAACTGACTATCAACAAATTCTTGCCCTTATAACAAGTAATTCAAATTCGCAAACGAAAAAAAACTTACGTTCTTTGTAAAGCTTACGTGCAACGCCAAGGGTCGCGTTGCTTGTATTGTGTAAATTTATAGGAGAACATGATAAAATTATCGTAAAATACTGCTCGAATGATTCGGATCTAAGTAAATGTTGTATTACCACTGCTTTGTTGCATTTATTCTATAGTTTTATTAAACTATGATGACAAATTGTTGCAGATATTATATAGCTAGCTATGTCACAACAAATAACCTCAGCCATCAATTTGAACTAACCGTGGTGACTCAAAGTTGCTCATTAGTCAGGTATAAAAGGTTCGGCACGCATTATTGTCACTGTTGTTTTGTTGATTATAACATTCGTAAAAAATATATTCATTACTGTCCTAAATCTTATTAAAAACACACAAGCTGTACGAAAATGACAAACTGAGGGACACCAACCACCACAATGGCGCGCCAGGGCTGTTCAAACTTCAAAAAACCGGTAATTCTTAACGGATTTGCACTGCAACAATTAAAATCGAATAAAATATAATTAAAGGATTAAACAAAACACGTATATCTTGAATTTTATATTATCAAGGTAAATCATTCAGACATTTAATTGGATAGTCTACGTATTTTCACTATTTTGAAACACAACGTTCCTTTTTTTCTCTGGAAATTATAAGAAATTACTTTGCCATTCGATTGTAGAGCTGGAACATGACAAAAGAAAATACAAAACGATTGTTTTTGCTATCATTTACTAAAAATATTTTAAATAAAAAAGAGTAGTACCAAATAACAAAGGATATAATAATGTATTTTCTTTGATTTCAAAAACCCTAAGACATTATACATTTATGGGCCAATTTCACAATTAATCTGGTAGACAGATAATTTGCGGTGCAGTTACGGACACCACCCTGAATTATCTTTCAACTCTACAAATCTGAGGCCATATGTCTCCATATCAAAACCTAGCGAGGTAAAATATCTTGGATTAGTCCGATTGGTCTTTTACAGTCAATGAGATTTCGAGTCCCAACTTCAAAAAACTCAACTCAAGTTTTGTGAATGTTTTCCATGTTGGTACGCTTTATTAATCCTGCCAGTGATTGTATAATATATAACATGAATCGGAATGAATGACCAGACAATAAGCAATGTTATTAGGGTATGAGGTAAAGTGAGGTTTGCAGAGTGTGATGACCGTAGTGTTGTCTAAAGTTTCCGGTTGATATTAGTGTTCTTCAAACTCGGCTACTTTGGAAAGTATCAATTTATGTCGTATGGTCCAGGACCAGGCGCTAATGTATTATGACCACGATGATGATTTGGTTTTCTTCTACAAACATGTCACGTTGGCATAAAAAGCAGTTATAAGGGAGATTGAGCTGTGTCTCTCGCCTCTCGACATGGATGATTTGGTCATTTTCACTGTGAGGTGAAAGTGGATCTGCAACCACATTTAAACGGGTGACTAATTAAGAATTCACAGGGAAGGGGAAAAGGGGAAGCCTTTCGTTAGATGGATGGGTGGGTGAGAGTTTGTCGAGTAGGCGTTACAGTAGTGTTTGGTGCGCGTCATTCGAGAAATGGAAGACGCCATTTCATGTCTGTTGCTTGAATTACATATTAAATTATCGTTGTAACATCTAAAATGGTTGAATAGGCATTGTTATAGCTTCAATCAACAAAAAACAAAAACTATTGGACCATTTTACAGTCAAATAAACCAGCAACACCAGAGACATCAAGTCAAGTCAAAGTCAAAATCATTTATTTCAATCAGACCAGGATGGCACTTTTGAACGTCAAACAACAAAATTTATAAGTGAAGCTAGTTGCTCATTCCAAGGCGTAGATTCCTATGGAGAAGAACGAGCAAGAAACTCCATAGGTTACTCTTTTTCAATCAGGTTTACAATACAATTCTCTAGTTACATAGTTTTATTGGTTCGATTATGTGAGAACAATGCAACACCTAAATCCAGTCAGAAAGACTGAAAAAGAAAATAACCTTGAGGATAATAAAATAAAATGATACAGTCTGGAGCTGACCAGTTCCAATCGACGGTGCCCGTTCACGAACATTTGGCGAACCCTAGCACCGCCCAACTCAACGATTTTGTAGGGAATCGAGCGATCCAATGCACGTGCCACCACCAACGAGATCTTTGAGTGAGCATGACAACTCCAAGCTGACATAAATGTAATCTACTAGTTTAATTTGATTTAATTAATTACAGGGCTCTCACATTTACAATAAATTGTGCAACGTTTAAACTATACAAATATTTAAGCAACATGATTATATTATTACACAAATAGAATTCATTGAACATCACTGTGTTTCATTTATTATCCTGCGGAGCCGGACCAGCCTGTCTCCAAACACTTTTATCCTCTATATAATCATTTAGTTTGTAGACAAGCATGTCTACATAACGTTTTTTTAATACATAGTTTATCACGGGTGCTTCACGGGTGCTTTGCCGAGTATGTAGAAAACTTGAAATGCGCAATCATTATTTAGGTGAGTCCTCTTTTCCTGTAGTGGACAGAATATCTACATGAATTGCTTTCAAAGCCAAAATTGATCAATTCACTGTAGGAGCTGGAACAATTTCCGGTTTCTACCTGTAATAAAATATCGTTTTTGATGACACTTTTTTTAGGACGTTTATGCATTAACAGTCAGATATTAATAAATTTCTGATAATTTCTCTAGTTACAGTATTGGTGATATTAATCTAATAACACTACATAAAAAATAAACAACTACATTAAATATACTTCAAAGAAATTACGATTACAGTTACAAGTATAAAACTAAAATATTGTAGCAATCACACAATTTTTTTGTTGACGTACAAAAACCGATAAGAGTAAAGAAATCTTAGTTGATACATCATTGGTTCTTGTTTACGGTTAACCCAGAAAACCGGAACTAGTGTCACTTCACTAGTCGGAGTGTTTATTGATTTTTTGACATTACATACTGCAAACTTGGTTTAAATTTGGACGGTATTTGTAATAAATTATATCCAACAGATCATGTCTGAAATAATCATAATGCGGTTACAAGTGCGTCAGGTATGTTCATAAAAATGTTATAAAAAATTTACACATTAAAATATAATTCAGTTGCATTACATATTAAAGTATATTAGCATTAGACACTGTGAAAACCTATTAGCGAAAAAAATAATTTGAAATTGCCTTATTTCTGCTCAGACTATTGTGTTTAATAAGATTTAAAGACAGCTTTGGCGAAGTGAACTGTTGACCTAATTTTTGCGCGGACTTCGTGGAAAAAATAAGAGTGAAACAAAATGAAGATTATTGATTTATTCTTGACCATAGTAAATGTTCGGAGTATACTCACTACCCTGTAAATATGTACCAAACCTTTAAAATGCTATGAAAGATATGAAACGACTCAATAATCAAAATAAATCATCCATTGTTTGAGTCCTTTTCCTACCTTCACATCAATTCTTTAAATCAATGAGTCTTGTTTTTTAATAAATTAGTTTATTCTAGAAAGCTTGCCAAACTCATGTTACTTGCTCTGCAACTGAATAGCAAAAATTTGTATTTGTAATGCGACTGTGATTTTGCGTTATGTAAATAAATATTTTAAGTCGTAGCAGTTTTAAAAAAAGATATACTCCATGGTGACGTTGCAGAAGTAATCAGTTACCACCATGGCTCAAAGGATGCAGGTGCCGGAGTTGAGATGTATGGAACCGGAGAACTATAAGAAATATTTCCGTGCGCTATGTTGGAGTGGTACCAAGTGAGTACTGTTTATTACTATTTGATATCAGATTAATTTAGGTATAAAAAAGTGTGTTAATATATCTGTCTGTTATGGAGGTAGTAGTAGATCTTTATGATTATTAAGATGTAAGACATACATGTTGAATTCTGAAGTTATTAATAGTTTCAGTAAACAAGGTTAAAAAACTAGACTTAAAAACAAGAAATTGGCGTCTGTTATTTAGTTATTTACGATTAACTAGTTACTTTCTTTAGTATTTTTTTCCAAATATTTTGTTAATAAGAATACAGTTTTCTTTTAAATTCTATTCGATTAATTATTAAACTAAGTTATAATACGTTCTAAGACTTAAACAACTTGTGTAAGGAGTATCCAATAGATCCGTTTGTAACGCGGACTTCTACGGTGCGAAGGATGCTCACCCTACAGTTTTTTAATTGATATAAAATTAAGTGGGTAACTTGGTTTAATATTAATTTCTTATTGTTAGTAGTATGGGTTAGGGCATGCAAAACCGGAAAGTCATCAAAACCGGTTTTGAACATCGTTTTTTTGGGACCAAAACCGAAAACTGGAGCCAGGTCCGGTTTTAGAAAAAAAATCTAATGTAGTATAATTTAAAAAGAAACACTTTTTTTTTAAATACCCACTAAGTCTACAAATAAAACAAAATGTATGATAAATTTCTTTTTAATCCAACCTACAATAATTGTACAGATAACAATGAACTCATAATAGTATAAAGATTAATTAACTGAGATCAAATCAACAACAAGTAAGTTTTTGGTATTTTTGGTACCTATCAAAAATAATATATTTTAAACATAGAAAACACAATCAGTATCTGACAATTACCAAAAAAATCAACATTTTTGTAGCTTTGAAGTCAAACTACAAAGTAACATTATCTTAATATGATTCATATTGCACTAAAAAAGAGATCAATAATCAACTATTACTAATTTAAATAAAGCATAAATCACTTCTTTTCAAGAGATCGCTGTTCTTGATAATGTGATCTCAAAAATATAAGTGCATCCAACATTCGATCAGACAGCGAACTTCTTATTTTGTTACAGAAATACCCAGCACTCGAAAACACCCTTTCACTCTCAACACTTGTTGGTAGAACACATAATAAATAATTATATGCTTTCATACATGGTTTGCTCTACTTTTACGAACCCAGCCAGGTCGAAATCTGACCGATTTTTGGGGGTACGCTTTCTCTTGCATTTGTGTAATTCCATCTCTAGCTGATCTTAAAGAGTTAGCTCTTCAACGTCAGATGATGACGATTTCGAAGGTATGGACTGCTCGGTGAGAACTGCGGTGATGGTGTCCGTGTCTGGGTTCGGATACATTTGATGCCTCAAAATTAATTATTTTTTGAGAGTGTTCAAAAAAATGTTGATAAAAATCAAAATGTTAATTGTTACTCAATATTGGAAAAACCGGAGCTAGGTCCGGTTTTAGAAAAAAAATCTAATGTAGTATAATTTAAAAAGAAACACTTTTTTTTTAAATACCCACTAAGTCTACAAATAAAACAAAATGTATGATAAATTTCTTTTTAATCAAAACTTTATAGGTTTTGCGCAAAACTGGAAAACCAGTTTTGCATACCTTAATATGGGTGGTGTGTGTCTATTTTTTTATGTTTTTTATTGTTGGTATATGCTCTTCTTGTTTTTTTTTTATTTTCTTTCCCTAAACGATATATTTGTTTGGACTATGAGTGTTTTTTTTTTAATTGAATAATGTGAAGTCTATTCGTGAAAACCTGTAATTGGCTTTCTGGTGTTATTATGTTATCTGTTTGTTTGCTATGTGTAGCTGTTGGTTTTCCAATCCATAAATAAATAAATAAATAATAGTAGTAGTAAAAATTAAGTTATAATAGTAACAATATATTTCTATTACAATAACTTGTTCTTGTAACTTTGAGTAAGGCTAGTCATTTCTAACATCTAAACAATGAATGAAATTCTTCCTTTTGACATAGGTACAAATAAGTCCAATACTAAACTGGCTGTTTATTATTAAACATACTCTTGAATAAGTGGTTGCAGGCACAGCATATTATTTTTTGTAAACCATTATGTATATAGATATTAAAAATACTATATTGTCATAGCTCAATTAGACGTAGTTATGCAGAAATGTTGCAACTCACAAGTCACCAGAAATCTTGGAAAATCTTGGAACCTTTTTGGCTCTGATACTAGCTGTTACAAAAGGCAGTAAGATCATATTATCTCGGTTTCGGGTGACTTGTTGGTTGGAATATTTCTGATAACTATGTCCAATTGCAACAATTGATACTAGTTACAGTGAGGCAAATTAATAACTTTTAGGAAGGAAAGGCGATCCCACAAAAGAATTGGGAAGAAAGAGAAACTCCGACGCTTAAAAGCGGCCAATGCCTTGGCTGTTTGTTATGCTCCTGCACTCCTGGGCAATCCATCTCAATTTGCTGTGTATGCCAATGTGCGTAAATCCATCCTCGCTCGTTGGAGACATCTTCATGGCACCGTCAATGAGCTGTCTGATGACAGTGACAATGAGGATGCAACACCACCACAAACAAATAAAATACCAAAGGTAACTAGAGTAACGGAGTATTACAAAAGATTTTTTTATTTATTTTGTTTGTTGGTACACTATGCTTTGTTATGATACCCACGGAATATAGAATACAATGGAAGTAGCAAGTAGGCGTGGCACGCGTGCCACAACTGAGCAGTGTACTGCTTACTCGAGGCAAATTCGAGTTCAATCTCGTTCGAACATCGCGTCGAGTTGCTAGTCTCGTGACAAATACATATTTCCTCAACTATGCCGTTTTTTTCCGTTTTGGCGTGTAAAAATGATAGCAGCCGAAAAATCGTAAAAATGGAGGTGTTCCGTATCATCGGTAAGTACAATTTTCATTGTTTTCTTGTAGAAATCTTATTTTACTTCAATTTACAAAAACGGGTATTAACTCGTCGAGTACCGTATATAAAGACACAATTAAAGAACAATAGGTTGCGGTCACCGGTGACCGCTTGGTGTTTTATTTACTAAAACGGTTAGTCAAAATCAACCTTACGCCTTCAAGATAAAGTTTATTTTGGATTTATTCCATTCAATAGAACATTCTCGCCAGTTCTACGCTACTCAAATAGTGATGTGGTCAAATCACATATTGAATTTATCGATTGATATCGATGCAAGTGTAATGTAACATTTATTTAGATTAATTTTTTATTATTATTTTAGTGGTGACCCCGACGTGATTGGAAGCAACCTTCACTTCACGGAGCAGATCAGCACCGTCATCCTTATCGCCATCCCTCTCATTTATCACATTATCCATATAAAGTTTGTAAAAATTTATGTAATAGCTGTTACTTATATTGCCTATGTGAATTAAAAAAAAAATGATTTTTTGAAAAAAGAAACTAATAAAAAATACGAACAAAATGGTTTTTAATTTACGTGCAAATAAATACTTACCACTTTTTGTTACGTTTAAAAAGTTATCAACGACATATTAATTTTATTATTTTAATACTGTCACACTATCGCAGTCAATATTTTTTTTCACATTATTTTTAAAAAACATTTTCATATTATCGATATTATTTTTATCGAATTAGGCTACATCACTATCTGAGTAGAGACCCGCATGCGAGCCAGTGATAAGCCATTCAAATATCACCTTTATTCTTACGACGTTAAAGTTCAAACCAAGTACCACTTTTCGTCGCTAGATGGCATTGTTAAACGCCATCTAGCGACGAATAGCGGTTCTTGGTAGTCCAAAATATACTTTTTTATTTTGATTTATAGTGCATTGATTTTAAAGTTGCATATCGTATGATATTTTTTTTGTATTTCGTTTACGCCCATTTTTTTTCTAACCAATCGTAACTTCCGATTTATAGTATGAGTAAATTATAAATGTATTAGTTTGGCGACACCGGTTCTGGCAGAAATATTGTTTCAAGCTACTTCCATTGTATTATATTCCGTGATGATACCTATTTAATTAATGCATTTTTTACAGATTACAGGAATTGGGCTTCGGTCAGTTTTCTCCTTGATAGCACAGGCGCGTTTCACGAATGCGCAATTTTGTGAACATGCTCTCATCGCTTTAATGGACGTGCTGCAGGGACATGCACCTGAAGAACTGGCGCAGGAGCCAACTGAAGTAAGTATTTGAAAAATACATTACGCCTTCTGGGGCACATGCCCTAGAAGGTAATGTTGTAACCTCAGGGCCCATATGTAATATTGTCGAGGCCGCAGGTACTAGTTATGTTTTTCATCCTCACAAAGAAGGGACCACAAGTAATATTATACTATATTTTAATCAGGTATGTTGTAACTCCCACATATCAGGTGAGTCTATTGGATAAGGAAACAATTAAAATATTAGTTTTGTTATCCAATTGGAAAAAGCTTTTATACAATATACAATAAATATACTTTTCTGTTTTAGATCATACTCAACCTTCATTCAATGCTGGTGGAGGTGGCCAGTGGTAGTGGGCCAAATGGCAAAGTGGAGTTACCAACAACTCTAACTGCACTCAGTAGCTCTTGCCTCATAGCACTCTCAGTGGCCCGGGGTGAGGCTGAACTCATCCTGAGTGCTGTGGCATCTCTTATCATGTCCCCATCTGTACTCTCTGAACAAGATCTTCAGGTAATGTACAGTAAAGTTTGAAGATTAAAATGTATTAAGATATGTAATGAAGAATAAAGTAAATAATTGTGTGTAACAGTTCTAACAGTGATATCATTTATTTGAGTTATTTATGTTTTTTACAGATCCCATCAAACTTAATCACTCTCCAACGGAGCGTCCAGTCGGTGATACTTGGTTCTCCGTCCCGCAACCTATGGTTAAACTATGGCGTCCCTCACCAGTGTCTAGTGAATAGCTTCCCAGTAGACCTTCCTGCGCAACTAACTGGGTCGGGCGAGCTCGTGGTCCGGTCCTTAGTTTCCGATGGCTGCTTCCTATACGTATATACGTCCAAAGGCCTGTTGAAGATAGGTTCAGGGTACGGCAGCTCTATAAGGCAGCACGTTTATATGCACAAGCCAGACTTCTTTGCTAGCGATCGCCACGGCTGGCTAGGTTATTGTAAGGTAGGTTAAACCACTGTATTAATTGAATTGTAAAGTTCATGGTCACTTGAACAGTATTAATGTTTCCATGTTGTATTTCAGAATAAATTATATCTAAGGATAGGCAGGAAAAAGACTGAAGTTTATGAAATAGATAGAGAGACTTTGGAAGTGAGAAACATGATACGGCTGGATCCTGGTCTACCGGCCCCTGTTGAACCTAAGTCAGCGGTTTTTACCGACGGAAACCAATTAGGACTGATATTATTAACTAATTTTGTAAGTTGACCTTTTGCGTACTACCAATGAAAAGGCTAGCAAATGATAAATATTTTTATAAGACAAATAAATATAACGAAAGCAACTCATCTTCTTATAGGACAACCTTACAATTCGGCTGTACGACGCTGACTCCCAGCCGGAACGCGACGAAGGCTCAGCTACCACAACTCTGACGTCACAGAAAGAGATCAATGTCCATCTTCTAAGGCGTAGGACGCTAGTACTGGGCCGCAGTCCTTTTGAAGACGGAATGTCTAGACGAGCGACAGAACTGGACACTCCTATAGCAATGCAACTTGATGATAATGATGACGACCCCTTGCTCAGCATTTATGGTGGTCAGGACTTTGCGCTACTTACCACAGCTTCTGGAAAGGTAAGATCCATATTTATTTAATGTTTCCAAAATAATTAAACATTTTCTACCTCAGTATGTCTGAAAGTGTAGTAAACTACAAGCTCCTTTTGTGTCAAGCTACGCATTTCATATTAGCTACAGCAATGATGTTTGTTTCAATCTACAGACACCATGCCAATCCTTTCCACATGTTTTGTAGATAAAAATGGCATTAAAGACTGCAATTAATAAACAATGTTTGACATTAGCATTAATTCTATTGAATGAATTTAAATTGATTATTAATTTCAACCGATAGATAATCTGATTGTGTTGTCATCATTCATAAGCGTTCCTCGTATTTATCTTAGGTATACTACACCGGCAAAGGTGCTAGTCTTGGCTACAAGGCGGCCTCTCCACAAACTGGCCGGTGGACCCTAATGAAAGAAACAATATTCTCACGGAACGAAGCGCCGAACGCCAAGAGATGCAAGGTTATGCAGGTGAGAATGGGCTTGTAAAATGGGTTAAAGAACCCTGCTTTATTAGGATATTGTTAGTCGTGGACCATGCCGCGCGGCAAAGAAAAATGTAAATCGTTTTGTAAAATAAAATGAAAACATATTTATTGACATATACCTTTACAATTCCTTTTTGTATGTCCCTATTCCTACCCACTAGGTTTCCCTGTGTCGTGAGGCGTAGTTATGAACTAGTGTAACCACTAGGGGCTCATATTCATGAGCGACTTTGCGTGACGCTTTACTTCGAGTAAGCCGTTACACATAATTAAATTAAAACTAATGACGCATAGCATTAAGTATACTGAAATAATGCATTATAGGGTAGATGATAATTTTTTATTTAAATGCCTATCTGGTAGATTCTTTTAAAACATTAGATACGTATTTTTTGATTTCTTACGGAAACAAATACTTCCGACGATATAAGTATTGTTTTGAAATATCGCGTGACGTCACTTTTAGATACGTTTTATATTTAGAAATAACGAAGTGAGCTCCCACTCGAAAACTTTAATTCATTTTATCAAAGTATTATTTTCTTTAAGAACAAAATAAAAATTACTTCGTCTACTATCTTGATCAATGTGATCTCCTTTTGCATAACAGGTGGCGGTTGGTCATGAGGGAGTCCATGCAATCCTAGTGCTGGACAATGGGTCAGCTCTGTTTACTGGTATCGCGCGACGTGGCGAGGATGGCGACGCAATGAAGCATCGACGACAACCCAAACCTACACGTCCCAAAAAGATCTTCAAGGTACCTATAACAAACTTTTTATCGGTCAATTGATAGGCTTAGTTGATTTTAACACTAAGTTCAATATAGCACAGTCTGCTCACAACTATAACCCTACTGATAAACATTTGGCTTAGACTTGTTCGTTCAGAATTCCCTGTTTAAAATACTACTACTACTGTCGAGAGCCAGATACATCTTTTAGCTTATTGATTTGAAAGTCAGTCAATAAATGTTTTCCTCCAGTACACTATAGTCTTTGGCAACTTCACTCCAGTGTAAACTGAGGTATAAAATCAACAATATAACATCGCGCCTTTTATCCCCGAAGGAGTAGACAGAGGTGCATATTACGGCACTTAATGCTACTGTACAATGTAACACCCACTTTTCACTATTTATGTTATGAGTCCCATGTAATAGGGGCTGAGGCTATTGTCATATACCGGGCACAATTCCAGACTCCATGCTATCACTGAGATTTTTTTTTTAATCCAGTAGTCCTTTGCCCGACCGGGGAACTGAACCCGAGACCTCTTGCCTGGCTGCACTTGCGACCACTCGGCCAACAAGGCAGATGTAAGATCATTTTAGCAATAATAATAATTTATTATTTGTATTTATAGGCGGAAGGACACTTTGTAGTGTATGCTGCATGCAACTACGGCTCGACTGCATTGGTGACACGACAGGGACATTTGCTCATGTTTGGCAAAGACACGCAACACTGCGATTCCGCTGGGCAAGTTCTCGGGCTACGACATGAGAGGATTGTGCAAGTGAGTACATTAAAAATGTTCACGGATATATCTTCTATAAATTTACCCAATGTTTTTACGGTCATGAAGCGAAGAAGGCACTAATTATTCGTAACAGAACCAGAACTCTTCTAGTAGACCCCAGCTCAGTGTTTAACCTACTTCGCTAATTTTGATTTTGAAAAAGACAACATATCGGTCAGACTGAACAGGAAATTGTAAACCTAGACAAGACGTTCACCTGACAGTTGCTGCTAAGAACAGTTTAATCACCGTCATCAGACTTGTAAAACCTTACTTTTGTTAGAGTAATAGTACTAAAATGTTATTTCAGGTTGCCCTTGGTAAGGCTCACGCTGTAGCTCTGACAAATTTCGGCCAAGTCTACACCTTTGGAATAAACAATAAGGGACAGTGTGGACGTGAGTTCGGATATACTAAAGAGAGTAAGTATTCGTACATAACTATTTAAGTTTATACATAACATAACATCACGCCTTTTATCCCCGAAGAGGTAGGCAGAGGTGCACATTATGCTACTGTACAATGTAACACCCACTTTTCACTATTTATGTTATGAGTCCCATGTAATAGGGGGTGAGCCTATTGCCATATACCGGGCACAATTCCAGACTCCGTGCTACTACTGAGAATTTTTTAAAAACCCAGTAATACTTTGCTCGACCCGGGAATCGAACCCGAGACCCCTTGCCCGGCAGTAGCACTTGCGACCACTCGGCCAACGAGGCAGTAAGTTTATACATATGTTAATTTAAGAAAGAGTTTGTCTACTATAATATTTATTATTTATTTCAATAATAAATTGTTTAACGAGGTAACTCGACTAGTTTCGAGCCACGCTACGGGTTCATATTAAACAGCGTTGCGCAACAAACGACGCCGTGCCACCAACAGAGTTATGATATAAACGGTATTCGTTTTTTTTAAAAAGAGCACTATATATTTTTATCTTAGAATACTTATGTAAAGAGACCTGTTGTCGGTGCGGACATCTTTAGCACTGATCAGTCCTGGGTTAATTTGTATTTAAAACCAGCTAACTATTAAGAATTTACTCAACAAATAAACCAAAATCTTGAATCAGACGAAATTGTCATAATTGAGCTTTTGTCTTCAGTTCTTTTTATGTTTCTTCTTCTAAGTCGCCTCACTCATTACAGAGAGAGACGTCATTGCCACTAAAGAAAAGTTTGCGTGACGTCATAGTTGAATATCCTGATTTATTTCCATTCAGAAATGTTCCCAACATCTCGCCGTCGTACTGAGTCCAAGGAAGAGCCCCGATTGTGTTCCACATCACATACATGGACGACAGACTACTGCCGCGTGTGTGTTCTATGCAGGGACTGTACGGGATTCTCCAGCGCGTGTCACTGCTCGCATCTACCGAATAGAGTGCCTGGAGAGTGAGTATTGATTTAAGATTGATCTAATACCTATCTCAGTGATAGATAGTCATAGAAATGAAAGTTCTTAATATCTATATTTTATCGAAACATTACATGTACAATGTAACACGTAAGATTTTTGTAATGTTTAATTTTGTATGTAAAATAAAAGAAAATGTAATTGAGTGACAAGGGCACGAACAAAAGTCCGTGGAGAAAAATAAATCTAATATAATCTATATTTCCAATAAGGAGCCGCGGAGAACGTAAAAGGTTACCGGACTCCGAAGTGCAGGAGTAGGAACGGGGTGGTTTTTAATCAGTAAGAGTCTGACACTCCCTCCCGCCTCACCGAGGGGGCATTCGATGATCTTCCCCCTTAAAAAAATCTACATTTGTTTAATATGGATTCAACAGGTTTATGAAAAGTCTAGCGATTGTTTTATAAATTCTAAGTGAACTTGAGATTTGCTTTAGAAAAGTATAGGAGCAAAATGATGACTTACAATTAGGACACCACCTCTTTTAAACAAATAATGTTTTACATTGTAACTGCCTTCAATCGCATTTCAAATACGATGAAAGAGAAATAAAAAGATCAATTATTTTTCTCCCTTTTGGCATTTGATTCCATTATCTTATTAAACACGTATTCTTAAATATTAAATAGAAAATGCGGTTGCGGCGAAGGCGACAGTGGTTGTGCAGTTTGCGGCGTTTGTCGGAGATGCGCAGACACATTTGTAATGGCTGGTCGGCCTGAACGAGCATCAACATTCACCGTCACGGACTTGGATGATGATGGCGAACCATCCATAAGGCCAGACTCTAGAAGCGGTAAGTTATTAAACTAACGTATTGCAACGGTATTCTATCAATAATGTATCTTTGGCCGATTTTCATTGCGCTGAAATCGGTATGCCTTGCATTTTGTACGGAACCCTGTAAGTTCTGTTTAGTTGATATTGCGTTTTGTATAATAAGTATTGAAAATGTAATCAGTTCCATTATTGCATTGTATTTAGTTTATCGCCAATTAGTGCATCTGTAGAACACCTAGTAAGCATAATTTGATACATGAAATAGTTCATTTATTACGTGTGATCAAAATAAGAGAAACGTATCAATTTACATAGCTCCATGGAAATACTTGTTAATTGTTTCGTTCTTTCGACCGTAATTAATTAATCCTAATTGATTGATTAATGCGACAATCTCTGAGTCGCCGAGTTCCTCTTCTTTTAACGTAGAAATATTACAAATTGATGCTTTACAAACGATAATGCTTCGATGCAGTCTTAATCTGCTTCTAGCATAAATATAATAATATATTATAGCTTCATATGATGGTGTTGCATCTGCTAAGATTTTATTATCTTACGAAGATGCAAGTCCATAGTTAACGCGTTGAAGCTTTACTATTTACTACTGCAGCTTTCTTGCTTAATCCATTTGTTAATTTCGAGTAAAGGCATCAGTCACAAAGGTACAGTTTATATAAGTATAACAATAATTTCATTCACATAAACAGGGGCAGGATCGGAAACTTTATAACAGTCTTTATCTACCAAATTAACATTGTCTCTTTACTTATATATTTTTAAATATTTGGTTATAAACAAAATATAAATAATAGTAGCCCACCAGTAACGGGAGAATTCCAAGCTACCGGTAGTCAGGACTCCAGAGAGAGGAATTTTCGGACAATACAAATGTTTATATTATGTTAATTTACAAAATTAACGATATTATTATTAGTCACTATTCACTTACACCTAATCGCATTGATTCGAACACACCCCGTGGAAAATGTAACATATCATCACATAGAACTCAGGATAAATGCACAATCATCATCTCATATTAGGTCGTAAAATATAGAGATAGTGCAAACTTTCAAAGTAATGGAAGTCGACCAAAAATACTTGGAACACCGTTGTCCTTACACAGGCACGTTCCTATAGTCAGATCCCTAAAGCATGTTCCGTCACTATCACAGATGTTGACGACGATGGCGACGTCTCCGCTAGAATCGACACACGGAGCGGTGAGCAATCTAGATGTTTAACACAATATAATACTTTCTAAAATCTTTTTCGAGCCCTAGGCTTTAGGTATTCTGTGCTATAGGGTTCTATCTTAAATTTCCAGAACGAATTAAAAACATAAGTACCCAGAACTGTTTTGCCTCACATGAAATCGATTTCAATACCCACCCGAGTGTCAGATGTCCTTATAAAATAGTATAGACAAAGGTACTGGATTAGCGATAAATACTAAAGACGGGTTGAATATTGAAGATTAGCAAATTAATATGAGGCACATGAATCCCTATCAGATTAATTGAGTAGATTATTCTGGTACAACCTTCTAGTACTAGTAGTTCTGAGTCTTTCTACAGAGAAAAAAACAAGTGTCCAATATACTTGGTTTTAAATCTCCTACTTTTTTAGTGATATTTGACAAACAGGCGGTGATACTAAATACATGTTCCGTCACTGTCACAGATTTTGATAACAACTGCGCAGGAGCCTCTTCTAGTGTCGAGACGATGATTGGTGAGCATTACATTATATAGGGAAACTTAGATTTAAGCTTAATGTAAGCAATGAAAGGTCATAATACAGGCACTAAGGTTACACTAATTAAGAGTATTATTATTGCCAAAGACAAAATAACGCTATACCAGTCTCAGTACAAATTAGTTCAATGTTTGAACAAGAGGACGCATCATATAGGATGTGTAAAATATGAGATATGATCCGTCTAGTAGTAAGGCACTCGGTCTAAAGCCTTTTCATCACTGCCGCAGATATTGACGACATCGCCGAAGTCTTCGCTATACTAGACACAAGGAGTGGTGAGCTTTATAAGATTTTACGTAGAGCTAGAGTATAGAATGTGGATGAAATTATTCGGAATATTTCGTCTGCTACTTCCCAATGTGTTTGGTTAGATAGTCTCACCCGTTCCTTCTAACACCCTGGTTCTATGCTTACTGTGTCTACTTCCCTCGCTGCCTCCGATCCGCTCGTTTCTATAGGTGTTTCTAGGTTATGTTAGAAATAACTTCAAATATATCTATGTTTGTTTTAATGAAGTTTGTTCCGTCTCTAGATAAAGAAAACGTGCGGTTCTCGTTATTCGAAGGCGCTGCAGCTAGCTCGGAAATGGACCGCGATGCCAGTCTTAAAGTGACTTGTTTACCTCCGGCAAGAGTGGCCGTGCCCGGGGGACACCGCATCGTCGCTGTAGCGTGCGGCTTGCATCATACAGTTCTGCTGACTGAACATGGTAAGTGGAAGAAACTGAAAATAAATGTGATAGTTTTGTAGTTATTGTCCATCCATCTAAGCTTATGACAAAGTTTAAAGTTGTTATGGATTTTTTTCTATATTTGAAGTTGACATTATATCTATAAATATTTAAATTTCTTAGAATGATGTGTAATTGTACATCATCAATGATGACTTACCATTAATGGACCACAGTTAACTGATAATAATTCTTCTACAAGCAAGAGCAAATTATCAATTTCCTGAGCAGGCGTATTATTGTTTTCAAGGCGACGTTCTAACCTTCGGATCGAACCAGTACGGTCAGCTCGGGGCTGGTGATATAGCCGTACATCACAGAATAGTACGAGTACGGGTCCCTAAAGCATCGAGCGTGGCTGCTGGCAGTAACCACACTGCTGTATTAACGAGAGAAGGAGAACTCTACACTTTTGGAAGCTATCAGGTAAGTTTTTGACCTATAGGCCACTGACTGCGCCAATGTGTGCGACGTTGTGATAAAGAATGCAGATAAATACAGATATATCCTCCGAAATCAAAACGGATGATATGCTACCAACGGTCACACCATAAACATTTAATTTTGATGATAGTGTGAAATGCTTTTCAATTTAAATATCTGTATGAAATTATCTTATCAAATATTTCTCGGTTGTGGCTCATTTACTTTCTTTTTCACGTTATAGAAAGGATCACTGGGCCGGCCCCGCATGGAGGAACCTCTAAGATCAGATCGAAGCCCTATCTGGTATGCTACACCGGGCCGGGTCCCAAGATTGGGACCCCGACATTCTTGCAGAGCGGTTTGGGTCTCGGCTTCAGGAGATCAAACCTTCGTTCAGGTGTCACAAGCTTTGATCAAGACGGATACACTGTTCAGCTCAACCATCACGGCTAATTCGAACACTATAAGTAAGTACCTATAATATAAGTTACGCAATAATATTTATTGCTTTGCGCCCGCTAGATGGCGCTACTATAGACTTAGGTCGTTTTCGGTCAATATTAACTTGTCAAAATTGTAATGTCCAGTGGTTTTTTATTATTGAATACAATAAGTTAAAGGAGAAGACACCTAAACTCGTACGCTTCGGGCTGTTTAGCTTTTGTTGAGATTATTTTATTATTAACAGTGAATTTTAAAACGTATGTTTCTCTTTCAGTAATATTACCAAACCGACCAGAACATACGTTCAAATGCATAACAATAAATAAAATGGACGGCTCATGCAACACGTGGACTGGCTCGGAGCAAGTGGACTTCGTGAACAGTCTCGCGTGTCTCGATCCTTTATACGACGTCCTTTGGTGTTACCAGCCTCAGATGAGGGTCATGAAGTGCTACAACATACTGGCTTTTGACTCACACAAATTGCAGAAATGCTGCAATGATCCCGAGTCGTATTTCGGTGAAGGAGACTTTGAATACCCAAACTATGGCAGTATGAAACGCTTAGAAGACTTCAAGAACTTGGAAAACTTTGATCTGTCCTGTCGTGACGAGGATAGGCCGACGGACAATGTCGCTCTGTCCAATATGTCGGTGCTGAACCAGGAACTCGCCATTCCATCAGCGATTGGTTACTCTGTTACTCGAATGCACGCTGCGTTACATCTTCTGGGATGTTTAGATTCGTTGACTTATGCTCATGACATAAGGTAAGTTCATTTCTTAGTTCGTTCGTTCATTCTTTAGTGCTTTTTATGGTATAGGGCGCGTAACAAGAAGACGTATCACTTGATGGTAAGCAATCGGCGTTGCCCATGGACAACTTAAAGATCGATGGAGTTACAAGTGCGTTGCCGCCCTTTTAGGGAATGGTGATAGGGCAGATTTGTACCCAAGGACATATCATAAATATATATTGCGACACACGGCGAGATTTATGCTAACTATTTGATATATTTGGGCCTGAAATATAGACATACAGTTTGCTCAGGTTGACATATTTTCAAATTGTGTATTTGATAATAATAATTAGCAACATTAATTTTTCAGGTTAAATCAATCAGATTCTAAGAGAGATAGCTTGGGGTCTCCAATACTTCCTGTGAAGGAGGATTATCAGACTGTGAATAGATTCGAAAGTAACGGTGGAGGGTGGGGCTACTCTGGACACTCGGTTGAAGCTATACGATTTATGTGTGATACTGATATCTTGTTGGGTGAGTAACTTATACTCCAAGTTTCCCCTTAATGGGGTAAAGTGGGTCCGTAACAAATGTTTTTTATGCTATGTGGTTAATTCAACACTGGCTGTATGCTGATTTAGATTTCGTCACCTAAAATAGATTGTATAATCAAAACCAATAAATATTTTGTCAGGTGGTATCGGTTTATACGGCGGTCGTGGTGATTACACTGCGAAAGTGAAGTTGTACGACATTGGGATCGAAGGTGGGGACCAGGAAGGCGACGGGGAATTAATCACTGAGAGTGATGAGATCATATACGAGTGTCCCCCAAGAGATCGATTCCCGGTCATGTTTGACAACCCTGTGCCGCTTGCGGTAAGTGAACAAATCATGTATGAAGTTTTATGTACCATGGCTTGTGTCTGGTTTCCTACAACATACCTTCTTTACAGGCTAACCGATGGTACGTCGCATGGGCTTGCATATCCGGACCCTCGTCAGACTGCGGCTCCTCAGGTCAGGCAATGGTCATAAACGACGAAATAGGATTCCATTTCAAAACTTCCAAAAAGTCTAACAATGGTACCGACGTAAACGCGGGACAAATTCCTTGTTTCATCTATAACACTGTCAGCCCTGACCAGTCTTTACCACTCAAAGTTGTGGACTTGGGCGAACCAATAATAGTTCTATCTAAGAACTTGTCGAGAAAAGTGACTGTGTCCTGCTTCAAGTCGCTTATAACCTTATTACAATGGAGCTGGGATACCTTCAAACAAATCCTTCTGGAGACAAATGGCTTGGTGCCAATTAACTACCAGAAATTAACTGTAATGAAGCATCAAAAGAGGTTGGTTTACGTGATCAGAGCGTGCCTACGTCTGGTGAAATCTTACATCAACGAAATTTACCCACAAAATAACAGGAAACGCAACTCCCACGAGTACATGTCCTACTTCGAGGCTATTGCTGAAGTGCGGAACTTGATTCAGTCGATAATGGCTGATCAGACGCCTACATGTTCCATGCTGCCTCGGAAACCGGGGAAGAGTAAGGCTCATAGAGTATGCTATGTGCAGTTTGCTCTAGAGTTGATCACATCGATATTGAACGAAGCTCATGATACAATAACAGCATGCTTCCACGCTTTCTTTCCTACTCCAACGCTGAAATGGAACCATCTTTGCTCCATGTTGTTTAACGTCAAGGTATGTATTTGTAAATCAGTAGTACACGATGATTCTCTTTACATAGTACTACTAATTATGCGATACTTATTTCAGGAGGGTGTAGTACCGGCAGCGCAAATTCGCGAATTAACAGCGACTTGTGCCGCTATGTGCGCGTCACGAAGTTTACGCGACGTTTTACAATACGTAGTACCTGTAACACAAAGCTATATAAATACCAATGAGAACCGCCGGCCGGACAGCAAGGCAAGGCCAAATTTTAAAAAGGTTTACCATTCATTTTTATTAATTAATATATAACACTTTTCATTTACGGCTTCGCTGTACAGCAATAGGGTAGTTTCCAAAATTTTATTTTAATGTCTCATACATTAACGTCTGGTACGATATTTAAAATTTTAGACACGTATTTTTTCTTTTCTCACACAATTAAATTCTTTCGACGATATTATATTAATTTGAAATATCGTGTGACGTAAAACCTAAACTTAGCACCATTTTATCTAAGAATTGCAACTTAATACGAGAAAATAAAAAAATACGTGTCTAATATTTTTTCATTATCTAACTGACGGACTAATTAGTTTTTTAATTTTGATACCCTGGAAACTACCCTATTTTACATTCTAGTTGCTTAGTATTAAGTTACTTGCTAAATTGTAGTCTTTATAGCACATCATTTTGCCATGACAAAATATTGCTAGACATATGTAATTATAGTTGAAAGTATAATGTGCTATTTTCGATTGTGCAGATAATCATTAAAGAGATCCCTGCTAAGTCTGCGACGGTCCCGCGATCGTCGCATGCGCAGAAACCACCTCCCATACCTCCGCGAGCCAACAGTAGAGATGCTACGAAAGTAAGCTCCTTTGTCCTTTTAAAGCTAAGATCTAAATTAGATGTATGTTACACACACTTTCCTCCCTTACATAGGTAAAAATTGGCATATAAGTACTATTTCGGACCCTGTCCTGTGAATATGTTAAAATGAAAACCGACTACCCTGCCCAACCCTGGAAAAAACGGAAAGCCCTAAACGGACACCCCTCGTTAAGTTTAATTAGCAATGGGTCTCCGTATAGGGTCTGTTGACTTGTTGAGCCTTTGTTTGACGGCCAACGATGCAGTTTCAATAAAGATCAATTAAACTGTCAAACACCGAGCGGTCACCGGTGACCGCAACTTATAGGTCTTTAATTGTGTCTATAATGACGGTACTCAACGAGTTAAGGCTCACTTAAAGTAGTTTTTCAAATTTTTATAATAACTATCAGGAGACATACTAAATTAAGTAAAAACGCGGGTTACTCACGTGAATATACGCGGTCGCGGCGACCACGCACGCTGCTCATGAGGAAGAACCCCTCTGTGGTTCGAAACTAGTAGAGCTTTTCTCAGTATATTCACGTGAGTAACCCGCGTTTTTACTTAGTTTTTCAAATTGTTTTTCTTTTTCACACAGCCTCCAGATACATCGGAATCTAAGCCGAACCATGCTGATTGGCACCTATTGGACGTGATACCTCGTTTACTGGACATCGTCCTAATTCCCATCAAACAGCAGATGATGACGCGGCAGTGTGGCCAGCCTCATGACCACGGGGAAATAAAACAGCAGGAGAAACTCTCCGAGTATTGTTGCAAACTCATTGCTAGGGTCGTGGCTGAAATGTCTACCAGTGCCACTTCTATTCGGGTGAGTTTTAGTATATTTATTACTGTTTTTTTTTAAGATTCTTTAGAGAATACGGTGTGATGTTACTTTTATCGCTTTAGGAGACGATCGATAAAGAATTGTGCCTGGCGATTGATCGGCAAACAATCATGTTAATGTATGGGGCTATTGCCCAATAATAGCTTAAAGTTATAGTAAAATTAATAAGTCAACACAGTCGTTCTTAGTACAATTAGATGATGGTGACATTGTTGTTTGGTCTAAGCACCCTGAACTACACTTTTTATCTAAACTTGTACAGTATAATGCCGGAATACTGAAACGTTACTCAATTTTAAGTCGTGCTTAAATATCGTGCCATCTCCGTCATTTCACAAAGAATTAGTGGTGACAGAACTATACTTAAGCGTGGCTTAAAATTGAGTAACATTTCAGTTTTCGGGCATAAGTCGTACAAGGATTTGCTTATCTTTTACTTTGTTTATTGTTATCCTTTAGTACAAAACTATAGCAGTAAACATTTGTTTCACCAGGACACGGACTCAAACGTAGTAAAGAACTTTGTGACACCATCGCGGTTTATGCGAGTGAATCAATCGAGAGCTTGGAACACTGGGAACGGCAGTCCGGATGCTATCTGCTTCACCGTGGACCGACCTGGAGTGACGTTAGTCGGCGTTTGTGTCTATGGTGGCCTGGGGAACTACGAGTACTCCCTCGAACTACTACACGATGTACGGGTGAGAGGGATTATCTACGCCTGAACCTCTGTGTTTTTCTTTTGTAATTAAAGCGTATTGTTGGTAAGTGTGAGTGAGAAAGAGATATAGAGTGAGAGTGGTAGATTGATGGGGTGGTAGAGAGCAGGAAGGACCACCTTCCTTACCTTAATGGGAGTAGTAGATAGTGGGATTGGTAGAGAGTGGACAATGAACGTTTTATAGATTGTGATTGGTAGAGTACCTAAGTAAGTGCGACAGAGAATGAGAGCAGAGACTGGGAGTGATAGAGAGTGAGAGTGAGATTAGTTCAGAGTCAGAGAAGTAGAGCGTGAAGAATTTATACATGTATAGAGAGAACATACGTACCATTGAAGACATTTTATAGTATTCACCATTTATTTTCTATCTGTCAATATTCACTGGTAATATTTCTATCACAGCTCCGCGCATCAGCCGACGAAGCGAACTCGACTCACTGCTGGGTGAGCATGGAGATCGTGCACGGGAACTACAGCGCGGCTGATCTGCAACACGACGTGGTGCAGCTCAAGTTTGAACGACCGGTGCCTTTGAAGGTAAATACGTCCTATCTCATGTCTTCCATGTCTAGCCAGCAGAGTATACATTTGTCACCAACCATGCTCTTCCTTTGGGTGTGGTATAATTTGATTGAGGTACTATATTATTTAACGGGGCAGCAACGTCCTCTGATAAACCTGTTTTTTTTTAAACTGCCATCTCCAACCCGTTTGTCAATCGTACAGATTATGGAAAAGGTTTCTTTTTTTGGGAAATTCTCTAATCCAGATATGGACTCTCACGGGCTGTTGACAACTAGTCAAATTCAATACTTTTATCGAAATGTCAAAAACGATACTGTTCTATGAATTTTGTACGAAATACCATCTTATGACGTCATCATATTGTCGCGTTAAATACCACACTTATATCTAAAAAAATGCTAGAATAAATAAAAAATTAAGTATATAGGTAAATCAATGAATGAAAGTGTATCTCTTTTTCATATTTACTGAAAAATCAAAATAATTTATTTTTGACCCAGGAAACTACCCAATTAATGATCTTTGATAAGTATTGAGATAGTAAATGTTATTCTTCTTAGTAATGCCATAACCTTAGGTGGCTGATGTTAGTCTAGGTTTGACTTTCACAATATTAGTATGACAGGAAGTGGTTTATGTATAAATTATATCTTATTTTCTTAATAACTGTTTACTATTATTATTAACAGGAGGATTTACGTTACGCCATACGTCTCTGTAACCATGGCGGTCGTACTTCCAACGGCGATTGCGGGCTACCTTCAGTTAAGGGCCCCGATGGTACCACGTTCCGTTTCGCGTCCTGCTCTCTCAGCTTCAATGGAACTACATTGGCTAGAGGACAGATACCTAGCCTGGTTTATTATGGGTAAGTGGTATTTATTTATTTTAGGACGTACAAGTTAATAATTGATAGAAAAGAAAAAAATATCCTTGTGTTTCAGTTGATCTATGAAATGATAGAAGTTCTAGGCAATGATAGTAAAGCGTCATCTATACACGATATGTTAGAACTTATAAACCGCTGTCTATCATATCTTATATGGGGCTGCCTCGTTGGCCGAGTGGTCGCAAGTGCGACTGCTGGGCAAGGGGTCTCGGGTTCAATTCCCGAGTCGCGCAAAGTTTTACTAGGTTTTAAAAAAAATCTTAGTAGTAGCACGGAGTCTGGAATTGTGCCCGGTACATTGCAATAAGCTCACCCCTTATTACATGGGACTCATAACATAAATAGTGAAAAGTGGGTGTTACATTATACAGTGGCATAATGTGCATCTCTGCCTACCCCTTCGGGGATAAAAGGCGTAATGTTATGTTATTTATTCTGCAGGTCGTCAAAGAACGTATCAAATTCATCGGAGTCGGCAGACAACCTTCTATCCTCTTTGCGGTCCATCACTCTTCGCGTGGCTTCCACTGTCATGGAACGTGGAGCCGACCTGTTCTGCACGTTGCGCAATGAGTTGACTGCTGAGGACTTGAGAAGAAATGCTACAGTGCTGCAGAGCTCACCAGCTATCAACATATTGATACCATATACCCTCGCCAACTTGGATGGCGTTGATGACTCTAAGGTACGAATGAATTTTCCTTCTTTTTAATACCGAAGTAGACTCGATTTTCTAATTCGGAGTTATTGATATATCTTTATTGCTATAAAATATCAATGGTCGTCCAATATTATAATAATATGAGTCGCCTTTTCATACATTGATATATTATCGTACCGAAAATCCCCAAAATAACTAACGTCTATAATGGTGTTAGTGGAGAGCGGTCGCCGGTGACCGCTTGAAGACAGTTAATCCCTAAAGTGATACGTTAAGCTGCATAAATGCAATGTAAAACCTATGTTATAGCAGCTACTGTATATTACTTTTTAACCTCACTGGCTACAAAAAATCTAATAAAATTCTATTCATCTTGGTACAAAATATAGTGTAATAAAATGAATACACATCGTTTGCAGAGCGTCATCAAGATACTAGAGATGATTCACAAGCTGCTTCCTCACGTGGCAGCTATGAACTTGTTAGTGCCAAGTGTTGAAGAATCGAGCACTACCACGGGAAATTACTATACGTGGCTCGAGAGCGATCACCCGTACAAGCAGGCTACTGTTACTAATATGAGGTTGGTTATTCTTACTATTTTACTAATAAGTTGTAAAGCTTTTTGATTTAATATACAAACAACAATATAAAAACAAATTGAATCTTACAGACCAATAGTAACTTGAGATGGAATAAAATTTTAGGCAAGAGGTGTAACTTGCGCAAAATAGATAAGAGGACTTAAATTATAAATATACTTTACTTCTTTTCAGGGTACTATTCCCGACCAACGTATCCTGGGTGGTCCTCGAAATGGATCCACGAAGCATCACCGCTCAGCCTGAAGACTCCCTCACCATATACGCAGTGGCCGGAACTCCTAAACATCGGTGCCATTGTGCTAACGAGGTCCGAGTGTCGGATCCGCCTTTCAGAAAGGTATATAAGGTAGAAAATCGTCCATCACTCACATCATTCATTTTAGTGCTATTCGCCTTATGATGATGTTTCAGAGTGCTCTAGGCAAATCTGGGTAAGGACAACTGAATCTTACTCTTCCTCCAACTGATTCTAAACCAGAGTGATAACGGTACGTGGTACAATTTTGGTTAATTAATGATGTGACCCGTATCTCTGAAGTACCTTCTGAGGAAACATCGGTGAACAACAATGAGTATTAATAAAATATTTCGACACCCTATTAAATATACTGCGCGGATGGGTCACTGGCTGGACAACCGGCTCCTGCGCACACTGAACGACTCTTTATATGATTCCGGGTCAGTCTGGGTATGATGTATGTAGATTTGTGTGTTTGTAAGCACACCCACGACACAAGTACAACACACTTTATATTTTTTTTTTCGAAAATGAACCTTAATGTCGTTATACTCGACAACTTTTGTGTAAACAAACAGGTACTTGATTCCGATTAGCAGTTTACAACTGAAATGTGCTAAAGTCAGTGAGTATATGAAGTCAGTAGTATCATTATAATATTATGTCGAAATGTTGTCAGCAACGTTCGCTCAGCTATTTCATTCATTGTAGATCTCCTCGACACTATTGCCAACTTGACCTGCTTGTACTCGAGTAGTTTTCTAGTAGTTCATAGATCAAATAGTTTCAATGTTGAGTAAGTGATCGTTAATTGATGTACAAATTGATGTTAGCACAAAATAAAATAGTTCGTAATATTACACTCCTTAGACATGTTTGTAGTAAACACAAATACGGCTGTAGGGCGGTAAACGAGCAAACGGATCACGTGATGGTTAGCAATTGACGTCGCCCATGAACATCCGCAGCACTAGAGAAGTTACAACTGCGTTGCCACCCGTTTATTTACCCGATATGGGGATTGGGGAAGGGGAATGTGAGAGGGGGAGGTCGGGCCTCCGTTAACCTTAGTCATACAAAAGCAAGTGTAGTTTCACGGCGGTTTTCTGTGACGCCGTGTTGTCACTCCGGGCGAGTTAATCTAGTAAAGCCGAAATATGACTCTCCTTAATAGCTTCTTCATGGATCCTGTGTTCGAATCACAGGGAAGAGTATTTATGAATTGATAAAAGGTTAGTCTAAGCACAATCTAGTAAGGTAGGTTTAAAAATGGTAACTGATATTGAAGATTATTTGCGTTGAAAGTAGTGGAACGGCAATTAATTGCTGCGTAACGTATCGCCGGTTCGATGCCTGCACGTCTATAAAATTATGAATCTTTGTGTTATTGTCCCAGGTCTGGGGTTTTAATGTATCTACGACAGAGGAAAAATCCAAGAGTTAGATCAGTTTGTTTTCATCGATCTTGGATCATGAAAGATTACCACCATCCATGGGTATGGGGATGGGGACGGGTATCATCATCTTTGATTGTTACATGGGCTGTACTGAAACTCTTTGCAATGTGTCTTTTGATGCAAAAGCAGTAGCGACTAGAATTCTAAATAAGAAGTTCGCTTTAAATTGTAGCTAATTCATACTTTTTCTTATCAGCGACTAGTGCAGTTGACGAATGAAGGCGAAGTGGAGGAATTAGGGGAGGAGCCCGATGGTGATGGCGTGTGTATGCATTACAACTGTACTTACGTTGGTGTCACCCCAAGGCTGGCTAACAAGTAAGTTTAAGTTATTTTACTATACATTTTTTTTAGTTTGTTTCATTTATTTGACTTATTACTTATTTTTTTATGAGGACAGTTGAGATTCTCTTGTAGATTTAGTGGTATTGGGATTAAGATCTTGGATTTCAATGCAAAAATTGTATATAAATGACGAAAATGGATATTTGCGCTTGCGCACGTTGTGGCGATTCACCTACCTACTCAGACATTATACTAGAAATATAGTTATACAAGTTACTAGAATACTACAAAATACGTTTTCGAATAATACCATTTCTAAGATCGATATCAATACAAAGTCGTTTCCCACTTTGATGGAAATATTAATATAATTGTTTGACATTAATCTATAACGAATGGATATATCCCCCCAACAACATCAAAAGCAGGTATTTAAAAAAAAGTAAAGTGAATTTCATCTAATTCAAAATAACTAATAGTCAAATAAATGTTTATTGTGTTATGTTTATGTTAATGAACTTTATTTTTCTCCTTGTTTCAGTGCAAGTGACTGGCCTCAAAAAGCCCTTTTAGTACCAGGGAATGAAGTGATATTCTCTTTGGAGACAGCATCCGACTATTTAACCGAATTTAACAAGTCAAATAAGTAAGTTGTGAACATACATATATATTTTATCATTAAAATGTTTTGCGCAACTCTTGCGCAAAATTTGCACTAAATCCGTTTTTGCGCATTAGCTTAGTTTTTTGGGAATAAACTAGCTTACATTAATATGTCACCTAGTATTCACAATCCTTTGGAATTTAGACTAATTAAATCTTACCTAGCGTACTTATATATACCTACCTATATGATTGCGATGCGAGCTAAAGAAACATGCGACGATCATACTATCAAGTATGTAGTAGTATGTTTAAGCTCAAACTTTTGTAGATTCCCTTGTATTTTGTGAAGACTAAGACTGGCTATTGGTAGGCAAAACACGAATTTACTTAACTTTTTGTTTGCATGTGTGACCTGTACTAAATCTTTCCTTTTTGTATCACAACAGCGAAGATAACCGCTTCGGCTTCCGATGCCTATGCGTCGGTTACGAAGACACCCCACTGACTACACAACGGCAGGGTCTTGTCGCGCTTGAAATGGAACTCGTATACTCTGGTGCCGCGTGCGCATCCAAGCTATTGGCTCCTGATATTGAAATACCGCCATTGACGTTTTGTAAGTATATCATAAATATTATTATAGTTATAGTACTGTTTTAAACTGTCGCAAACTTGCTATCTACGGGGCGTTTTCCCTATGGTCGGTCTCGCCGAGTGCATGTGAATATCGCCTAATGATTCGATTGTCAACTTTATCCATTATACCTTTGATAGTTTTATGGAGATTGTAATCATTCTTATTTGATACTAGCTAGCTTCATCGACTTCATCCGCGTATAATATGATTCCTGTTTTATCTCATGGGAGTATTTATTTGGGATAAAAGTCCTATCACCTAAGTCAGCCCATACCCTCCATACCCTGCCTGTATACCAAATTCCATCAAAATCCGTAAAGTAGTTTCATCGTGATTAACGGACAAAAATCCAAACAGAGAAACTTTCACAGTTATAATATTATTGTGATTATTACATCTTTTTATCCTCAAAGAGGTAGAGGTGTATTACTCGCCGACCCGTGCTGCTACTGAGTCCTCGTCTTATACGATGTTGATCACGATTGATGTAATTTGTAATTGAACATGAAAAACATACAGACGAATTGAGAAACACCCCCTTTTTCGGAAGTCGGTTAAAAAGAAGTTAGACAGAAGGCTTGTTCTTATTTGTGTTATAGTTTTGTACTTTTCAATAGAAGTAAATGAGTTTAGACGATTGTTCGACGTACGGACGAAAACAATTTAAACTTGTTAGTAGGTAATTAAAACTAAGTTTAATTGCATATACTACGGTTAGCTGCCTAACCGTTGAGGAAAAATACAAGCAGTTAAGTTGTTAAACAACGATATATCTATTATACATCGCGTAATATTTTAAAATGCATGATTTTAATAGCTACAAGAATAACACGTCAAGGTTAATGTGTTAATTCTCAGTATATAATAACAACTGTCGTATGTATTACATAGCTTGTGTGATTGTGTTGATAGTAACTGGTAGAACCAGATGAATTTTGTACTATTATTCTCGAGGGGCATATCAAATTAATTATACAAACATATAAAAATGACACTGTTCGCTTTTATATCGCGCAATGATGCTATTGATGAGTATAAGCCCCTACCGTGCTTTGAAACTAGTCGGATTACCTCGTAAGTAAGGCATAAGTATAACGTATTTTATTATAAGATAATCACGAGTAAGAATGAATGAATTATTCATCTGTGGTTTTTCTGTAGCGCAAACCAAACATCAGATGTTTATGACTAAAAATAATTATAAAATGAAACAACAAAGGACACTTGTTATATTACAGTAGTTTCAAACTATTTCTGAATATTCCATATTTAACTAAAGTAATACTTATGTCTTGTGTAATAAAGTCCAATTTCGTATTTAATATACAGACCAGTCGCAATGTTAAGAATTTTAGCGTAGGCGTTTATCAGATCACTTTATTATTTTAGTCTATTTCATAAGTATTAATGAATTCAACGGTTGAAAACGTTTTATCTATAAATATTTTATTTGCTATTTTGATTCTTATGACCTTGAGATAAGGTCAAAGTTTTTAGAGTTGTTATAATTATCTCACAAACGTTTTAATATCGTATAATGATTCATTGTTCTAAATCATATCCTCTTTAAATCCAGTCATGATCGGAATTAGTTGGTGCAGGTGTACCTATGGTGCGTTTGCGCAGCATTCGTGGCATACTAATAAATGTTGCCTTATATGGCCAATAGTACTGGTTGAGGGCGTTTTGTGTATTGTATCAATAAGGTACTGCAGATTCTATTTTGTTTTTACGAAAACTCGACTTCACCTCTTGACAAAACTTTTGACAATAGTATATAGTATTGTTTAGTCTTTAAAAGGAAATGCTCTAATCTAGGATTTTCTCCTGTGTTGTTGGTGCGTTTATAAACATAATTTGTCAATGTACATTCATATCACACCCAGACCCGGAATAACAAATAATTGTTATATGAAATAACTCTATAATAAGGGACAACACTACACTTAAGTTTAGCTAACTTAATTGAATCACTATAATAAAATATATATTTTTTGTTTGTCTAGCAACGTTAGTGGAGGTTCAAGTACAAGCTATGACGGGCGGCAGTCCAATGGGAGTGGAGGGCGAGTCTCCTCAGGACGGGAGCGAAGCCCTCCTCCTGTCCAGAGGACTGGAACTCTCCTCCCCTCCCACCATTCACCAAGTACTCGATGGGCAACCGCTGCTGCGGTAAGTAGATTGTCTTGAATGATACACATGAAAAACAAACACTTATTTACTTAGGAATAGGGCTTAATTTGGTGTGATATGATTAATGCGCTGTGATTCCGTTGGAGTTGCGGGCGACACTGATCGCTCGCTTACAATCAGGCGATCCGTCTTTGTCTTTGCGTGGAAAAGATACGTTTTAGCCTAATAGAATGCAGCTATTATATAAATCTTTGCTATTTTTATTCTTCCTTTAGAAAAAAGTAACAATAATAATTTAATACGCGTGACGTTGATATCAATTCTCAAACATCGATATATTACTTATAAATTTTATTATTATTAGCAGTCTTATCGAGCAATTAGCGGGACAGTTTCTCAGGAATGTTGTCCAGTACATAATTTATATAATTGCAAGCGAACATGACATTATATGCAGCGTACATTGTAATTAAATGTACATAACATACTTGCATGTTTGTAAACATAAACTATTTAAGTTATCGTTGAATTCAAACAAGTGTAATTATTTTGAAATTGCTATGTGTTTGTTTCTTATGTTGGTACATTGTTTTAAATTATAAATGGATTTTGTGACGTCATATTTTGCTGCAAGAACTACTACTAATACGAGTACTGTTTGGTACTTGAGACCTGATGAAGAAACAATGGTATGATCAACGCTTTCAACGCCAGAACGAGTGTGATTTCCTGTCCCATGTTATGTTTTCTTTACAGCCTGAGATAGGGTTTAGTGATAGTGATAAAACCACTAGAAAAATATAATAACTTTGACATGAAAATACAATCATCTAGAAAAATATCTATCGTTTACCGAAAACATCATTATAAGACGTTCGTCTTTGGGTAAATGATAAAATGCATGTTTAAAACAAAAAAGAGATACGTGGTCTTCAATAATAAATCTAGTTCTGTCGATACTTCATATAGGCAGGTGCTATATCATACAAAGTTGTGTATGCCACAATAGTTCCATTGTTTCCTATGCCTATGTACACAACTTCTGAAGGAGACGTCGAGGAATTCTCAACGGTCAACTGCAATGGCAAGTATGCGATATGAATGAAATATGTATGACATGTCAACTGCATCAAGAGGATTTATCGGCAATGGTAAGCTGTGTATGAAGTTCTTACAGGTACCATAGAATCGTACACGCAGCTATATAAAACCAATATAACCTGACCGTCGAACGTGGGGAAAGATCATAAAGAGCAAGACCAGGATAAATTGGTTTTGTTTAGCTTTATGTGAACTCATAATGGTATGTGAACTGTGAAACAGTATCGTCTATGTTAGAATTATGCCTTGTCCTTAATCAGGGTATTTATCTACTAAGCGAATGTTAACTTATAACAAATTGCGTACTATTTCTCAATCTTATTTTAAACTGTTAGCAAAAAGACATTCACCTATAAAGGTTTGTTTTCTAAAGCACATGAGCTCATTGTTGCAGCCGTCGTGACGATATAACATTTATTTCTCCTGAGCAATTGTTTGAAACCAGTAAAGAGCGCAGTGCACACAATCTACAACGTCATTAAACTATTTTGTCCCCTAACTTCTAGATATTAGGGCTCCAAATAGAAAAGCACCTTTCAGTTCAAATGGCTATAGGTCATGTCGTAAAATGTCAAAAACGTGCGCAAGTTGTAGTATTGGTTATTGCCTAGTAGAGTAATACTATACTGCTAATATAAGAACCACACCTATACATATTAATGGCAGGTTTATTGCTTAAAGTAATTAGAGAACGTGGAATTTCAATTAGCTTTCATATTGTGGATAATCTTCGGATAAATCGACACTACGTTCTCATGAATAGTGCATGTTTCAACTATTATTATAAAGCCGCTATAATATAGGGTAAATTAATATAATATCTCGCATCGCATATCAGCAATTACAATAATTATGTACTTATATTACAATATATATACAAAGCACTTAATTGTGTTATTCTACGTTTGCATGCGCCAACTAATTTTTAATCTAAATTATCATCTGTACTTTACTGACTTTATTGTAAGTGAAGGAAAATAGATGTAATAACTTTACAAACGTAGACCCCTATTCACAATCGGATGAGATCGATAGTTTTAAAAGTCGATAAGATCAGTCCCATTGTTTATCATTTGCAAATCAAAGTTGGTACCTACGTAGTGGCAATGCTCCTGCACACCCAGTTTTATGCTAACAAGTAGGTCGCAACAGCGCTGTTAGTATAATAGGTAAGCACGCAATTTTATAGGCAGTTATAAACTGCAGGTCATTTCGTCACGTTTGCAATGCACTGCGTCATTAAATACAAACACACAGTGATACTCTCGCAGTAGTAGCCAAGTAAACGTTCGCACAGCAAATATACCACAATGAAACACATAATTCCTTGTACTTTTTATTAATCACAATAATTTAACGCTACCATAACAAATACCTAAGTAGTATCTTTCGCAACACCACATCGCGTAATACTGGTCGGTGTATAACTAAATGTTGGCACTTTGCAATGACAGAGTGGGGCTCTGATGTTGCTACAAACAACACACACGCGATCAACGCATTTCGGGACTATGACATCAAACTTGTCGCCACAACTTTTCAATGCTCAGCCCTATAGGTAGTTGTTTGCGTAATGTAGCAGAATCAAGGCCCTGAGGTAGAATTTCGATGGAACATAATTCACGGAGCGATTCATCGAACTACCTAGTCATCTATTGTGTGTCACCAGAGACACCACGACAGAGATCAATCGTTTTCACAACACAACGGCTCATAAATCTGTAGTAAGGAGCTCGGCTCTCTCAACAACTATGTGGAATTCGGTTTCCCTGTAAGTCTTTCCGTCTGGCATGACTATCTGCACTTTCTTCTTCTTTTCGTTCTCTCGTCTAACTATAAAGAATATGGCTATGGCCGCTAGAATTAACACTAAAATGACACCTATGAGCACAAAAATCCAGAAGTTTTGTTTGAACGGTCCGCACCTACTGTCCACGTAAGTTGGCAGCGATATGTAGTAGCCCTCAAGCTCATACCAGCACGTTATTGTTCCACCTTGTTCTTTCAACACTTCACGCCACTGTTCTGCCAATTCACAAGCGCATGATGTATTCAGGTTCAGTCCATCGACCCTCAAAGTCAGTCTCGTACGGTTGTACATTAATGAGGCCGGTGTTAAATTAGTAATGGTATTGTTATCAATTAGTAGCTCCTGAGGTCCCATCACCGACGCTATCCCCAAATCCACGGTGAATCCGAAAAATGCGCCTTTCCTCAAATTGGTTACTGTATTATTTCTAAATGTTATTGGCCCTCTCGTAACTATGTGAAATCCATCTCCTTCCAATGTTTCTATTGTGTTACTCTCTATAAGGACCCTCTTTGGTGAACTGACAAGAAAAGTTAAACTATACAAATACTTAACAGATACTCCTTCCATACGGAACAGGTTGGTGACTTCCACGTCAGACAGGAACCTGCTCGGTAGTGTATTTATACTGCCCCCGCGCAGCATAAAGTTGTCTACAGTGAATTTTTTAAACGCTTGAATTTCAATGTTCTCAAAAACATTATCTTGTAAGTCTATAGTATTGACTCCAGTGAGGCTGGAGAAGGCGAAGGGCTTCAGCACTTTAATCCTACTATTGCTAATGACAACATCGTTGACGCGTCCCTGTATTGCGTGAGACGCAATCTCGTCTATCGTACTGTTGGTTATCGAGATCCGTAGTCCTGGGTTCATTTCGTTCAGTGTGGAGAACGGAGACCAAGATAGGGCTCGCTCGTTAATGACGACGTGATCCACATTTCTTAGTTCTATGTTGCGAAGTTGTATGAGACTTCGTACGGTGTCGGGCAGGAAGGTCACCCGCGAACAGTTATCTATAATAATGCCAGTAGCAGTAGAGGGGACTCTATAAGCTCCATCAGGTCGTAGGGTCACCTCCTGTAACAAAGGAAAATTGACCATTTAGTGCGAAATATTTTATTGCTACTTAAAGTATACGAAATTTGATACAACACTACATCTAGGGACTATGTGTTGTTTATTAACATACACAGGTAGCGATCACAATATTATGTTAATAAAATCTTAAAGAAGGTATGACTCAGTTCTAATGTTAGATCATTGTTCAAATATGTACGTAGGTACTATGTATACGTTATCTGGCAATCTTTGTTGGGAGGATAGCGATGTAAATGATATTAATATACTCACGGGATAATCTTGGGTGCAAGTGCATATGACTCTAGTGAAGGGGTCGCAGCGACACGCTTCTTCCTCGCAGACGGTCGGTGTGTTGGACTGCGCGAGGGAGCGCGCGTGCAGCGCCACCACCACCCACCACCACTTCGACCAGCGCATGCTAGTGGCTCACGTAACCATCTCACTCAGTTATTCACGCACTGAAAACAATATCAACCAATTAGGATACTCCCCACAATTACGTACACGGCACACACTTATTCGCTTGAACTAACATGAGTTTTCCTTGTCTTTTACCAATGTAACAAATAGACCAACGCATTCACCGGCTAATGAAGTCAATCTGAGTCAGCTAGGTATCGGACGTTATCGCGACCGTTGTTATCAGATACGTAGCGGTAGGTACAGTACTGGTGTGACTTACTAAACCCAGATAAGGCACAGTAATCGAACTGCAGATAATTCTTGAAACGATTAATGTCGTTGTTGAGAATTTATTAACTCGAGTTATAGCAATAAATCGAGTATAAATGTAATTTTCTGTAGCGCTAAGAACGTGTTATGTTAGCGTATAGCACTACCTGACTGACCGTGTGCTGTTGATTTTGTTAGTGGGAACGGGTGACGTTATAAGTGGATGTTTCATATAAAACTGTACTACTGCTTGTTGTCTGCTGACCCGCGTTTACTCACCACGGTCGAGTGTTGAGTGTGTATGTGAATTTAGCAACACTAACAGGGGAGATAGTGGATCTGATAAAGAATACGTTTGAGGCGTGTTTGTTTACGCATTAAAACGATATTAAAGTTGATTGTCATAAAATGTGACTAGGTAACTACTTGGAAAACATATCAGTAGTAGAAGTAATTAGATTTCGGGGTTATTTTCTCGTTATGATGTAAAAGCTACACTAGGTTCAGCCGCAAATCTAATAACACTGAGAGATAGTGCATTCAAAAGCCGGAGTTTTCCGAACTAGGGGCGACCAACTTCGGATGGTGTTAATATAGTCTTCAGTGTAATAGTAACAAACCTAGTTTGATACAAGTTATGAACGGAACCACCAAACTTGCTCGTAATTAATGGTGGATTCAATTAATGCACTGCTTTGATTTAATGTCTTACTGATGTCTAGTCAAAGGGATTATTTAATTTAAATAGTCTGGGCTTGCGGTGATACCGTTAGATTGCAATAAACGCTTTAATTGTGAATGTACGCAGCATCTACGGTTTAGTTGTAATTTGTGGATGAGGAACTAAGATATAATGAACGTTTAATGAAATGATGTAAATCAGATTTCGTTATCAGATTTGCATCTACTATGTAAAACTCAGATACAAACACAAACAATGTTTATAACCTTCACGGATTCCCCGACCTTCTCCAACTTGTTCTTTGTTTCAAATAGGTAATGTGCTGGTACACTGTATGGATGGAACTATCCAATCTTTCCGAACTTTACCGTCGTACGTGATCTCATTCGTTTCCAGGTAGCGAAATTAAATTTAAATACGTAGGTACGTAGATCATAATATATTTCGAAGTTTAGTGTTGTTGTTTGTTTTATATTTCTTTAGAAAATGTATACATACATGCATAATTGTGTGAAAACAGGTTTAATTTACCCTTACTTCCTTACTTGTTCCATGAACAAACTTAGAGTATGCAAATGCAACCTGCATGGAAATAACCCTTCAGCTTAAATAAGGTACACTAAACTGCACTGAATTTAACGCCATAAAGTTAGTTCTGACGAGTAAATAGCTGGCAGAACTGAAGGGAAACGTTCAAAATATGCATAATCTAAAGTTTGGGCATCTGTTTTGATGTGTACCTGTACAAAAACTAATTAAACCGTTCTGGTATTCACGTTTGCTCCGGTATCATAGCTCTTTCGATCGGCTGGCCGCACCCTCGGTCGGTTTCGGTCGCGACATTACTTAAATATAGAAGTGTGGTGTAAGAATGTACATCTATAAGGCATTCCATCTTTAAAGCGTCTGCTGGCTATGCTAATTACGAACGTGGAATCGTTTTTGCGTTAAAAACGTTAGTGAGTTATACGGCCCAATGTTAGGGAATAAACTTGTTCTGAAATACATTTGATCACACTCGGAAACATGTCGACTGTCTGGCTGTCTACCCTTGTTATCGTATTGCTCAGTGCGCTTTTGCATTTCAAGTTTCTGCTTATTAAATTGTTAACTGAGGCGTATTTTCTTCGAAAGTGTTGCAAGCTTATTAGGATGTCCCAGATATGAAAAATATGAAAAAGGAGACGCTAGATTTACCTGAGATTCAGTACTAATACGATTTATTTGTGTAAGTTGTAAGCAGTATTGGTGCATGTGGTTTTTCTAAAATTGCAGATAATGTTCGTATTTATGCAATGTTTATTGCCCGTGGCATTGGGACGCTGGTTGGTTTCAATCCAATTATCCACTAAGCGCGGTTGTGGTTGTCGTAAAATTCTGTCGCCAAATATGTAACAACGTGATTAATGTGGGCTATTGCAAAACGAAATTGTTGTTCAAATTAATTGTAGGATACTTTATGTTTTCCCACATGTGGTAGGTCTACTTGTAAATAAAAAAATAACACCTCATGGCGTCTCAAAGACCGTTAGTTCCTTGTATTGTTTTACTAATACTTCGTTTCAAATTACATTTTAATCGTAGATATACCGTAACTCTACACCCACTTAAGGTATTATAAACATCCTTTGTATAACAGTGGTAGTGTTCAACAGTTCATAGATAAGATTTACAATGAATTTTATTATTATGTCGATTCAGATGTCTAATGAGAAAGAGACAATCATCTTCCGTTGAATAAGTTTAAAGAGCAATGAGATACAAATTCTGTGACTGTTCCAAATTGATGAGACGATGCCTGAATATGTTAGGTATGTATCAACTTCAATTAGCTTGATACACTCAGGTCAATATTTTTAGTGTAACGTTTCCTTGTTGCATTTAAAGCAGCTTTAAAGAAGAATGTAGATAAAAACGAAATTCGTCTAACATGGATTTGCGATTTTTGTTGCTCTAAATATTATCCGGTACTGTATGCTTTTAAAAATAATATGGTAAAGTGATAAATGTGCACTGCGATGCGCCAATATGCTCTCTACCCAATCATATTAATTACACTACAATAAATTCACTCATTTCCCTTCAAAATATTTAATATACACGAAATTATCTTGTAGTATTTCATCAGAATCAGTCAATCGCAATGATGGAATGTTATTCGTTATTATTTAAGTACAGGAAAAGTACTGCGTAATAAATACATTGCAATCAACACAAGTAAATAAACAATTTATCAAATATGTAACGCAGATTGGAAATATTGTAATTAAATTACATAATTAGTTGCAATAATGGAAAAATGGGTTTTGGTCCTATTTCAAACGATGGCATTGAAATTGTGACCTATATTTGATACTGATAAGGTAGATTCTTCTTTCTACCAGTTGAAAAGTAACCTTGGATTATTAGTTGGTCTAGTAAAGGATCAAAAATATCTATATAGGATGTTATTATCTAGGTATTAAGATTGTATTTCAGGCGCACGGCTTTTCAAAATAAACTTACTCGCTAAATGTGTGTAGGCGTTCGTTGTTTACGTCTGCTCTGTCCCATTTACTTCATCACCCATGCGTTTACAATAGGGGGAATAGAGACTGCACTTAAATAACTTCGCTGCAATACCTAACATAATATCATACCTAACTTTTATAAGTACTTATGTCAAACTGAAAATATTACCTAACCCCGTGTAAGACAGAACAATGTTATTCTAAACTCCAAATTAACTTTGTTAAATGATGAATTCAGTTTCATCAATTGTTTTTTCTTTTCGAGTAATATGGTTAAATATTGTATTGGCACCACGCAATCACACTTACTTGATACCTAAGTTAAGTTCCTAAAGACTTGTTGTAAAAATCAGTACTTATAATAAAATGTGTATAAGAAAAGCTGCAACAATTTAATGAGTTTGCGATATCCCCGAGCTAGCGCTAATCTTGTTAACGTATCCAACTAAGTGTTATGAACGTTGCAACGCGAGCTTGAAGTTACTGCGATTGACTCTACAGATAGCAAATATTGAGTTTTTTATTAATAAATCATATTTATTAATGATAAACTTTTTTAAAGTAAGTTCTTTCGTGTTTGTCCTTTTTGCAATTCTTTGTTGCAGCACGATCACTGAGATATTTGTAGTTTTTACCAGTCATTTTGTGAAACTGTTTGAGTATTGTAGACTTCTGTCATGGAGGTTGGTTAGTCTGCTGGTTATATGTGTCTTGTTTATCTCCTTACACATAAAGAGTGTACCTGTAGAGGTAACTCGGCCTTCAGCTTCAGCCTCTAACTCCACAGGTGGTGTCATGGATACTATTCAATCTTTTTGACACTGTCGATAGTGTTCAGTTACGGGCTAAATCCATCCCCATGGCATTACCAGTGAATAGTGTCACAGATTTTGTAGGTTATTCCATTCGTAAAAAGTTTATCAGAGAAATCGAGACCTACGTATTCCGGTTATGAAATAAAAAATGATCTGAATTTCTAATTAACATCCTCAGTCATGTGACCTACAGCTGCTCCGGAATGATTATGTTGACATACTTTGGTCATGTGTTACAATGTAACTGTAGAACAGGCAAATTTCACGGTCAGTGGTAAATGTAGGTAAGCCAAAGGAACGCGACCACAAATCGATGAAATCAATCGCAGACCAAACTAGCATTATGTCATCATACATATAAGGCACTTATAAATGTTTTTGTACCTCTATATCGTGCTCGATTCAACGTCGATAGCAACATAAACATACCGTGAGTTCCCCTGATCATCTAGCCCAGTTCATTATTCAAAGATTACGTCATTCCGTAACCGGGTTGTCCTTGATTTGTGCCCAGAACCCTATAATGAGTTCACGTTTACTTAACTTTGATATTTTAGACTCGATAAATATGAAATCATTACTTCATCGCACATCGCCGTAAGCTGAATGCTGCCTTTGTATAGATACTGGCTAAGTTTAGAAAAGGCCGATGCAATAAGTAGCATCGTTGGGAACTAATATCGCAGTTACCTTTATATGTAATAGATGTTTAATATAACGTGCAACTGTTAGCTAGGT